TTGCAGTAGCGCTTCAACGCCACAAACCACGCCGTCTGTCATGTCGTGGGCCATTGTCTCTCTCAGAAAGTCGATCTGTGCGTGAGGTTGGTGTGGTCGTTCTTCTGCCGTGATCGAAGTCTTGGTATTCGCATCCAAGGATGGGTAAGAGACATCGGGCCCAACGGACATCTGCAGCGGAGCCATGAATCCGCGCTGGAAAAGTCGGAAGTACTCGATTGCCGCAGACCAAACATTGTTACAAGACCTGGATCGTCTTTTAAGATCTTGGCGCCGTATGTTGAGGTCTCGAATGTCTACACGCAAACGACAGATACTGGAAGAAATGGTTTTCTCGTGCTCGCGTTGTCTGCTCCTGTAGCGCGCTTGGTTAATTCGGCACTGCTCTCGTCTAGAGGTAGAGATACGGCGCTTAACCCTTCGTATAAACACTCCTGGTTGTTTAAATGACAATTCTGTCGTGTTTTCTGATGTAGTGGTCGTAAGACGAGGAAATTGCTTTTGGTTGCTGAAGTGCAGCTCAGTGGCCGAGCGTGGCTCTGGCTCTGGATCAGCGAGGAAGCTGAGTCCCATCTTGCTGTGGTGGAGTGCAACACGATCCACCACGCTGCCAATGACGACGTCTCTCAACGAATAACTGGTTGGTGGGTGAAGGGAGCTGGTCATCACTTGTATCGCTTGTTGTCCGTATGCGCTTCGGAGGGTGAATGAAGAAGTGATACTTTCTCACTACTGTATGCGGTGAGGTTGCGTAAAGTCATCACTGATTACAGAAATCAACATCACTGATGGCGTGCGAGAGCCTGGCCGTGTACATGCTTAGCATGCTTTCTGTTTTATATTAAGTATTAGTAACCTTCCACGTTAAACTGATGTGCTGAACCTTGCACGACATCTAAACAAGCTTTCCATCTGTTCGCAGACGGGCACTACTGAGTACTGTACAATACTAACGATAAATTAGTTCTATCTAGTTCAAAATTTGTACACAGCTCTTTTTAAAAGGAGCTGGGTAGAGATAACAAAAGAAATTGGCAGCCAAAATATATTGCATCAAGCTGTTTTATTTTAATATCAACATGTAAAATAGGTGATTTATTCACTGTGATAATAAATATTTTAATATGTAAGAAATAATCGGTACGCTATTAAGGTGGTATTGAGCATTACCTAGGAGTTCAAACAAAATATTCAACCGATCGAAGCTGAGTCCTGCTAGTTAAGTCACCGTCCAACAATTTCTAAACGTACATACTTGTACTAAGTATGAAATGCGGTTCAGAAGATAAACGACAGCTTTTCAGAATCGAGCTGTCCTTAGTTTAACAAGGATTTATGCAATGACATCTTTTATTTTTGCTTGGAATAGCGTCTGTGTACTGTAGAAATCGGGCTATTAGATCAGAAAGGAGTAGTGTACAGTATGTGATGCTCGATGCCATTTAAGTTTGTGCTTGCTGTTCATATATCGGGCTTGCTTAAAACTTGCATTTCAAACATTTCTTGCAAGAGTCAAGTCATTGATTCGCTCCCACTCGATTATTTCCTACTACCGAAGCACAAAATAAAGAGAAATGTAAATTTTAATATACTTTTCTTACTATTAATAAAATACTAATTGAAAATTCATTACAGACCATTTTATAGATTTCACTTCGACTCGGCTATTTGTCAAGATTAACAGGGCGGCCGGCGACATTCTGTATGCACTGAACAAATGGAACTGGTCATTTTGCCGGTGAGAGTAACAACGTAATTGTTGTATTGTACTACGAGTGTGTCATTCCATGGATTTCAATTTGAAACTCAACGATCGCCATTTCTTTAGATTCCATGGTCAATCACAAATACTAATGCTGGACAAAAAATAATTAAGCTTGATTTCACGGTGCTGCACCTGCTCTAGTCGTTTGCCCGTTTTTGGCATAAGAAGCATACAAATGTTAAGTTGGAACCGCTTGTGTTCTACAGCAACTACGATTGTTGCGATTGCAGCTGTAACCAACATTTAGTCGGAACGAATGGCAAGTTTAAGAGGTCTGGCTGGAAGTTTTTACCACTAATATATGTAAAAAAAATATTTAAACGGTATACGTTATTATGATATATATTTGTTTCGTCGGTGTCAAATCAAAAGTTCTTTTAGCCCACCCAAACTTAGCAACTAGATCGTCTTCGACTTAGCTGAGAATGCATTTTTTGTGCAAGTAAGCAGCCAGGTTAGTAGAACTTAAAGAAATTGTCAACAAATGATCTTAGCAGTACAAAGCCCAACATTAAACTTCTTCTAATCTGAACGAACCGCAAAACTACTTATCAATTTGAACAAGCTGTTCGAATACGTTTACCGACCAAATCTGCCTTAAGCAAAGTGGAGAAATAGATTAAATCGGAAAGTGGATATCCAGATTTTGAAATATCGAGCATTCGTAATATCTACTATATTGACAGCCTCCTTCCACAGTTTTACGAAAGGAGTGTGCCCATGGGGAGTGAATGTATTATAGGGTAGCCTCGTGGTGGCTGCTTGATCTTTGGATGTCAATATTTGCGTCGCAGGCCTTATAGTTTTGAGTTAAAACAACGGCACAAATGCTGTTTATTTAAAGAAGGGGGGGGGGAGGGTTATCATATTCACATGTACTGGTATGTTAGTTTACCGTTATCTGTCCGGCTTGAGTGGATCGCCACCTACTGAATGATTAATTTATTTGAAGCGGCAAAGCCGCTGTACAAAGTAATTTCTGAAGTTTTATCCTCTGGATTTTAAATCCAGAGTTTTTCCAGAGTTTTAGGAGGCGAGTCATTCTAACCCAAAACTACTGTAGACTTTTATACACAGAAACTCAAGTTACTCAAACCTTGCAAATAATTCATGTTGACTTTGATACCACTGTTTAATGCATAAGGTTGCCATAGGATAGTCGTACCCCATACAATGGGTTTTCCCTCCTGTTGTTAGGTATACGTGATTTCTGCTCGTATCTGAAGAAAGATCCTTAATTTAATCAAGCACGTCATACTTTGATACCTCATTCCCGTGGCAAAACTCATGCAAAAAGCCCACGTGAATGTTGCTTGTGGCGGCCAAGTGCAACATTATCGGTAAATTTCGGAAGACGAAAGTAATTTATTATTATTCGAAGTTACGCTCAACAAGCAGAGATGGAAAGTCGACGGAGCCAAAAGGGAATAGAGAAAGCACATAATACACACCTTTTCCTATTAACCTACTTCGTTGCTGTAGCTCGCTTCCTTCTTAATTTATCGTTTTCCTCCATAAGCTCTCTCTCTCTCGACGTTATAATGTATGTTGATGTGGTTACAACCGGGCGTACACCAAGACATTCACAACAGAGTCCTCTGTGCGTTGTGGTAAGCCAGAGCACATTTACTTGGACAGCTTTATTTCGTGTAATCACTAGCTTTCAGGCTGTTTCAACTCTATTTGGAACAAGCGCGCAGCATCAAAGACGGCGTAACATTACACTAAACCAAGTAGAATTTCCGTCGCTACTCGTTCTTACTGAATGAAAATTTGTCCAAACAACCGACAAATGTATATTCTTAAAGGAGTTTTGCCAATATATTCTAATTAAGAGCGCAAACAAAATCGCAATGAGCTGTAAAAAAAATTAAAGGTCTGCGAGTTGTTGCTAGGACGGCAGCACCATCAACAGTAGACTAGCACGGAAATCCAGAGCTTCCAGTGCAGAACACGGCATTAGTCTTTCTTCTCCCGTAACTAGTGTTTTACATCTGCCAGCGTTTCTTCCACGATGCAATTGTAACAAGAAACGATTGCAGTTATCCACGCTCAGCTATCGTCGGCACGCCAAAAATGAAAAAAAAAAATGTGTGAACAACAATAAGTTTATTTTTCATGGGGATTTTGGGCAAGCTATCCGAATGAACTTCCGTTTGACCGGCTGAGTAAATCTATTTTGCAGTTGTTGTTGCTAAAACTAACTACTCTGACCCATCGAGTAGCCCCACGCGTAATAAATAGGTTTCTTGGAGTCGCAACTTGATAATATAGTGGTTATGGTTGTCACAGTTGAATTCGCCTTGTACATTTGCTCAACAAAATAGCTCGCATAAAACGTAAGATGGATGTTGAGCGAGATAACATCGACAGAGTTACGCAGTACCGTGGATTTAATCCGTTGAGGGCTGTCCATACCTTAAGTTATTCCCAGTGCAATGCTACATATACTATAATACATGTACCAGGTAAAAATGAGCTCGATGTCACATTATAGAGATAAATTACACGCACTACCATCAACAACATTGTGCACTCATCGCTCCACTTCTGCATCATTCGCCTGACGACTCGCTGCGAACAGCGCTGGGTGATTGAGCACTTCCCTCATGGTCTGCAGCCGTTTGACTGGGTCGAACTCCAGCATCTTGGACAGCAGGTCGAGTGTCGCTGCAGAGAGCTGCGTGTCCATCTTCCAGGACCGGAGCACGCCGAGACAACCCACGGTCTTGACCGTGTTGAACTCCGGATCTGTCGGCGACGCGAACTCCAGCAGCGGCGCGCCCGTTAGCAGCATGAACAGCAGGATACCCAGTGACCAGACATCAGCCGTCACAGGATCGTAGCTCACCTCAGATACGACCTCGGGTGCCACGTACTGCGTCTTGCCCACGCAGCCACTAGCCCGTCGGTCCGCGCGCGTGCTGAGACCGAAGTCGCCGATCTTGTAGACGCCGTCACGCGTGACGAAGACGTTCTCGAGCGAGACGTCACGGTGAGCGATGTTACACGTCTCGTGCAAGAAGTGCAGACCACGCGCCAGGTGCAGTACGATGCGCAGCGCGTGGGGTTCGCCCAGACGGCTTTCGGGCTGCGTGGACACCAGATCGGCAAGTAGGTCACCACGTGCACAGTGTTCCATGACCACGAAGACGTGTGAGCGCTGTACGAATGTGTCGAAGATCTGCACGACGTTGGGGTGGCTACGCGCGACGCCACGCAGCTGTGTGGTGGCCTGCCACTCCTTCCAGGGCCCCAGCAGACGACCCGAGACGCTGTCGCGCTGAAGCTGGCCAGCGCATTTGACCACCACCGCCTTGGCCCGAGCAGCAGCGGCATTGTCAGCCGAACGAGTGTAGATGTGGCCTAAGTAGATTTGCGGAGCGAGACGTGAGCTCACTTTGATGTGGCGGTGTGAACTGGCGTTGGAGTTGGCAGTGCGAGCAGCGCTCTGTGCTCTAGGACCGCCACCGCTGCTTCGACTGCTATTGCTGCGGGCTTGAGCGAGCGTCGCTGTCATGGCTTGCAGTAGGGGTTTTGTTTTTGTTTTTGGTGAGGAACTGGCAGGCTTGGGGCGGAAAGAGAAGTGCTGCTGTGCACGAATCCGCGTTGAACCGACCGAACTTGAAGTACGGCGACGACGTTAGCGTAGACGGGTCATTGTTTGCCACGTCACATGCTGTCGCTGAGGCTAGGCTTTCACCAGTATCAGCGAATCAGCAGGAAGCACGTCGCCCGCGTCGATGTGACATAGACGCGTGCAACGATCGCAATGACGAGGCGTTTTCATTTGTCTTGGTGGAGGTGTCGGGCCGAAGGTTGGCGTTCGGCATCATACGCTACGATCCTTAGCTCGCTAACGGGCTGCGGCCTTCCGGAGTTTCTCATGTAGCCAACGGTATAATAGTCAGTGCTTGCTTGAAAAGCGTTCTCGGGCGACGTAGATTGACGACATCGGACAGTCCAGCCGTTTGAATCTCGTTGGTAAGGACAGTCGATGTTTGCCGCAGAGCCCCATCCGCGTGTGAATCCTGCAGTTGCAGTGACTCGAACTTGCCGACGGCTGCCATTGGAGACGGCAGGCAACAATTTTTCGGATGACTCATGACGCAGCGCGACGTGTTCACTTCAAGTTGGAATGCAAGCGTTGCTATTCTCGGTGGATTGATCGCAGCACTAGCAGCACTCGTTCCTCTTCTACTCGGCAATTGTGGCAAACTTCTGCTGCAAGCCTGTTGCATCACAGGACAATTCGACACGTTGACTGTGGATGTGTGCACGTATTTAATAGGCGCCAGCATAGCGATCGGTGCACGAGAATCGCGTCCAATGCCGCCATTGATTAGGAACTTCTGGAGGGTAGCTAAAGGACGAAACAGCTACCATTTAGCGGTTGTCTTCAATGAAAACATTGTACCGTGCTGGCATTTGCGTACTCAACAAGCAATGCCAGGTCGGCTCGGTTATTTGCTGTTGTGTCAATTCAAGGAGGAGATTCCGGTGGTCGAGCCTAGACCGTTGATTGGTCAAATATTGTTCACTGAGCTTTTATTCCTGAACCAGACGATGGCTCTGCGGTCGCGATTCTCGTCGCGATGGGCGGCGTGTATGCGTACTGCGCGTGTCCACCGCATCTTCTCCACTGTTACGCCACCCAGGCCTTCAACAGCACCAAAGTCCAAGCGACGTGTAGTATTGGTACGCATTTTGGCTACTAACTTTGCATCATCTCTCAACCATTAATGTTGCTACATGTGTCATTTCAGTCAATTGACAAGCTCAATTCACACGGCGATGGTGTCGGCACCTACATTTCCCCGGAAGGAGTGAAGATGCAAGTGGTGGTGCCGTTTTCAGCTCCAGGTGACGAGATTCAGGCCGAACTTTGGGAACGCGACGTGCAGTCTAGAGAGAAGTGGGCGGCAGATAAGCCGCAGAGCGCATGGCCGGTCTTCGGACAGCAAGTGGCACTGTCCGAGCCCAGTGGCCATCGTACACAACCTCAATGTAGCAAATACTTTGGGATCTGTGGTGGATGTAAGCTACAGCACGTGAGCTACACGCAGCAACTTGAAGAAAAACAGGAATGGATCCAGGAACTATTCGCCGAGCGGCGCCACTCACCAGACATGGAGATCCGTGACATTTTAGGCGTGGAAACTGAAGGAGAACAGGGTGGGATCTATCACTACCGAAACAAAATGGAGTTCACCTGTAGTACTGGTCGCTGGCTACTGGACGAGGACAAGCCATCGAGCGATAACAGTGAAGCTCCACGCTACCCCTTTACAGTCGGAATGTTTCCTGTGGCTTCAGTGAGTGCTCGTCGATCCAAGCAAATCCACGGCAAGAGTAAGGCACGTCGGCGTCGTGCTACAGTGTGGAGTCCTCGAATTTTGTCGTTGAATGAGTGTCTGTTACAATCGTCGGCTTGCAATCGATTGCTGCAACAACTCGTGGTCAGAAGTGAAGATCTGGGGCTGCAAGCGTATGATTTCAACACGCACGAAGGCTTTCTGAAGCAGATTGTATTGCGTCGCGGTGTGAATAGCCAAGGCCGCACAGAGATCATGTTGGGCCTGGTGACAACAACGTTTGAAGGAGAACAGAGTGAGCTGCTGAAAAGCATCATACAAGGCCTTGTATGCGAGCATGAAAAGGATTTACTAGCCGAGACCGAAGATGCCCCACGACTCGTGTCGATTGTGGAGAGTTTAGACGGCGAAGCTCAACGACATCGACGCCAGAAAGGCGAAGAGCCAGCCGAGAGTACTGGCGAGGAACGCGTTCTATACGGCAGTTCGCACTTTGAAGACACGATTCTAAAACACAGATTCGAGGTTTCTTTCAACTCGTTCTTCCAGCCCAATTCGAATCAGGCAAGTGTGCTCTATCGAGAAATCCAGCACATGATAGCGGCGTTGCCAGAGCAACCTGTGGTCTGGGATCTCTTCTGTGGTGTGGGTAGTATCGGCATTTGCATGGGTCCTTACGCCAAGAAAGTGGTGGGATTCGAGCTAGTTGATGCGGCTGTGGAGCGTGCAAAGGTGAACGCTAGTCTGAATGGCTACACTCCGGATCACATGCAGTTCTTTTGCGTTGACTTGGCCAAGAGCTGGCAGGAAGAGGAGTTTCTCAACAAGATTGCGTCCACCTCGAATGGTAGTTCCTCCTCTGAGCTACCAGATCTGGTGATTGTGGATCCTCCTCGAGCGGGACTGCACAAAAAACTTATCAAGATGTTGCGTCGTATTGCTCCGCGCCACATTTGCTACGTATCATGCAATCCCCACTCCCAGGTGCCTGATCTTGAGGCGTTCTGCGCTAAGGCAAAGCCTGAAATCGGTGAAGTTGGCACCTACCGAGTGCGATACCTACAGCCAGTGGACATGCTCCCCCATACTCCGCACATTGAGACGATCGCATGGCTTGAGCGGTGCGATTAGTTAAAGAAACAGAATAAAGTCTCTATCAATAGGCATAAGAGGAAACTTATCCACAAGAGACTATTTCAGCCGTACGATTGAAAGTAGAACGAGGAATATATCGTTGGCGTCATCTCTACCGCTCGCGACCGAATTCGACGCTTTCTGGGACTCATTTGCTGTCTATGACGCTCTGAACGACGCTGCATATTCATGTCGACGAACAAAAGTCAAGATCCACGTGAAGTAGTTGTTAAGCCGCCGGAAACAGGTAGGATTATTGATGCTACCATATTTTACCACCAAGGTTTTCAATAACGCATGCGATTATTGATAAGGGTGGGCTGCCGAATCGGATACCCCTCGCCTGCGCCGACACGTAAGCGAGATGACGCGAGTGTCGTCTTTTCACACGGATGGGAGCAGCAAACAGCGGAGAAGTTTGCTGGCCGCACAGGATTCGCGGAGAGATATCACCCGACGTGTTTCCGTCCGGGATAAGGTACATAGTGAGTTTGACGCGGTTGCTATTGGGGGCGACACCAAACAGTCTCGGAGCTGCACCCTGCAGTAGTGGTTTAATCTCTATGTAATGCTGTAATATCGTAGCGGAGGTAGATAGATTGATAACGGAGAAACAGGATGGTATCCCTTCCACAAACCAAGCTCCTGGCGTAAATGTACAACCATCTCTCGCGATTCCGGTGCTATATCGCGCAAACTCGGTGACGGGCAACACACAGACAGCATCGACTGATTCAACGACGCTGGAGGATGGGACTGACGCTACGAGTGTCAGTTGTGGCACTGAGAACCCTCTGCGGCATGCAGAAGAAGAGGAACGAATGCTAAGGCCAACATGCCAAAAAAAAAAAAAAAAGGCTGGCATATGCTACACTCGCACAGATAAATTTACTGCTGGATTTGGCGTGTTCAAGTTGAAGTGAACACGTCGCGCCGCGTCATGAGTCATCCGAAGAATTATTGCTACTGTAGCGGCTAGCAACAATTCGCGACAGACCTGTCGCCATTGGCAGTCGTTGGCCAGCATGAGGACGCACAGATGGGGCTCCATCGTTGGCAGAGACTTTCCTTCCTTGCCAGCAAGATTCAGATTTCCAACCGAGTTCTGTTTACAGGACAAATCCACACAATGCACATACTGCTGTTGTCTGTCATCGGCCTAAGAGTCGACGCAGTATAAAGCATGGTGGTGTCGAGGAAGACAACAGCAGTAAGCGATCGTCAAAGGAAATGAATGATCATTGCGCACGGTTTTAACACATCGACGCAGGCGACGTGCTTCCTGCTGATTCGCTGGAAAAATGACAGCATGCGACGTGGCAAAAATAAAAATGACCCGTCTACGCTAACGTCGTCGCCGTACTTCAAGTTCGGTCGGTTCGCCGCAGATTCGTGCACAGCAGCACTTCTCTTTCCGCCCCAAGCCTGCCAGTTCCTCACCAGAAAAAAAAAAACCCTACTGCAAGCCATGACAGCGACGCTCGCTCAAGCCCGCAGCAATAGCAGTCGAAGCAGCGGTGGCGGTCCTAGAGCACAGAGCGCTGCTCGCACTGCCAACTCCAACGCCAGTTCACACCGCCACATCAAAGTGAGCTCACGTCTCGCTCCGCAAATCTACTTGGGCCACATCTACACTCGTTCGGCTGACAATGCCGTTGCTGCTCGGGCCAAGGCGGTGGTGGTCAAATGCGCTGGCCAGCTTCAGCGCGACAGCGTCTCGGGTCGTCTGCTGGGGCCCTGGAAGGAGTGGCAGGCCACCACACAGCTGCGTGGCGTCGCGCGTAGCCACCCCAACGTCGTGCAGATCTTCGACACATTCGTACAGCGCTCACACGTCTTCGTGGTCATGGAACACTGTGCACGTGGTGACCTACTTGCCGATCTGGTGTCCACGCAGCCCGAAAGCCGTCTGGGCGAACCCCACGCGCTGCGCATCGTACTGCACCTGGCGCGTGGTCTGCACTTCTTGCACGAGACGTGTAACATCGCTCACCGTGACGTCTCGCTCGAGAACGTCTTCGTCACGCGTGACGGCGTCTACAAGATCGGCGACTTCGGTCTCAGCACGCGCGCGGACCGACGGGCTAGTGGCTGCGTGGGCAAGACGCAGTACGTGGCACCCGAGGTCGTATCTGAGGTGAGCTACGATCCTGTGACGGCTGATGTCTGGTCACTGGGTATCCTGCTGTTCATGTTGCTAACGGGTGCGCCGCTGCTGGAGTTCGCGTCGCCGACAGATCCAGAGTTCAACACGGTCAAGACCGTGGGTTGTCTCGGCGTGCTCCGGTCCTGGAAGATGGACACGCAGCTCTCTGCAGCGACACTCGACCTGCTGTCCAAGATGCTGGAGTTCGACCCAGTCAAACGGCTGCAGACCATGAGGGGAGTGCTCAATCACCCAGCGCTGTTCGCAGCGAGTCATCAGGCAGAATCGGAGCCATGAATGTGAACCTGGTGGTAATTAGTGCGTGAACATTGGATAACTAATTTATTAACCGAGACTACGTGAATACATGTATTTCTTGCACTGTCTTCGAGTGCTCTCAAATCGTTTCCTATGAAAGAGAGATTGCTCATTTAGAAACAGCAACGAAACAATGTAAGCTGAGCGAGCGCCTACAGAGTAGACGTCGGAGCAAATTATTAAATTGAGGAAGATAACAATATTTTGGAATTATTTGTACGTGTAACAAGAAATTTAAAGAAAGGAAATAGTTATCATTCATGTTCTACGATCAATGATAAGTTGTACGGCATCGCGGCGTTGAAATATGGCGTCTCCGTCGCATGCAGTAGCAACAGTACTCGACCAACTATTCTTAGCAGATGAATAAGTAGTCCACAGATTTGGCTAATCGAACACAACATGCTCGCAAATTTATATAGTGACTGCAAAGTTGCACACAGAAGCGATTTAATTCCACTTCGCCTCTCGGCAGACGAAAAAAAATAACCATGAAATGGCCTATAGATTATCCAATTGATTCCAATATTTTGAAATCACTTCATGTCGATTGAAGCGATGAGGACAATTGCAGGTTTATTTTGAGGAAGGTCTCTGGATTGAAGAGCTTAGAAGTGAAACACGTTGAAAGATTTCAATGATGTCAATAATAAATGCTAGAAGGGGCATTTTTTTAATAACTCGTTAGTTCCGTGCACACACTCTCACATTTTCGGGACTATATTCTAACAGTACAGTTTTATCCAAACTATACAACTTGAATTAATTATTCAAAAGCGTACGCGCAAAATGCCATTGGTGCACGTCACCGTCCTCGCAGGCCAAAGCATCACCTCTAGTCACTGGCGAACTATCAAAATCCCGATAGTAATAAGCTTCGCAAAACGAAAAGATAAAAAAAAACGGCCCTTAGCCTGTTCTTTTTTTTTTGCAGTTTCTAACCGTAAAAAATAGCTTCAACGAACACAACTGCGAAGGTTTCAGCTTGAAACTTTCAGGTCAGGTAATGAGCCGGTGTGTTCAGTAACGTTAGTGCTGCTGTTCTGTCATGATATGGGATCAATAACGGCTGTCATCCTAAGTCGTAAGATGGTGATCACGGTAGCTGAAGAGCTAGCAAAATCTTGTCTTAGCAACGAAGCGCAACTCGCCGGTGAAACGACAAACCTTCGTCTCACTTTCGGTCGTCCCTATTTTGGTCGAAATTTCGGAGTCTGACTAAGTCCTCCGAGAAACTCAGAAACGATTGCGCTTCACGTCCAGGTAATGGAAGGCGCGCGTGATGAAATCCAGCATCCTTTCGGTGCTCGGCTCTCAGTCTCTCGTAATGGCGAAACAAGGACGAGTTTTCGAGCCGTGGCGGTGGTGCCGCACCTTGGAGGATTACCGAGGCGAAGTAGTAGCGTCTTACACAACATCCGTGGTCGTGCATTGCCATTTTCAGCTAATAGCGGACCCCCAAAAGTACACGATAAAGCGGATTCCCCCACTCGATCGGATGTTCAACGTGTGAGAAGTTTTACTCAAGCCATTCGAGGATTTTCAACAGAGCCTGTAAGATCGCTCGATAGTCTTGCGGTGTTACGACAGGATAGCGACAGATCCAGCAATGGCCAGCAGATCACCATGGAGACACCAGGAGTAGATTCCAGAGGTTTACCTCGTCGAAGTAGCTACGTGCTAGAGATTCCATCAAATAGCCCAACCAAGTCTCGTCGTCAAACCACGTCGTTAACGAACTTTCCAGACTTGTCGGTCATGATTCCCAAGCCCCCTGGAGCGATTGAAGGTTCTCCAGAGAAGAAGAAATCTATGGTTGGTCCTAACATCAGCTCAGTATCTACTGCATCACAAAAGCGCGACGCATTTATCGTCTCCTTACCGCAGAAACCAGAACGACAGCCAAGCCTTCGTGTGTCCACTATGACCTTCTTTGGGCACTCTTTCGCCCCACTTTACGATTTCTGGGAACGACTCCAAGTGAGTCACTGTGGACAATACTCGGTCGAGCGTATGTTGGCACTTGACGAGTATTGCCAACGCGTATCTATCGGGCGAGTATTAGCTGTATGTTTGCTATTCCCCTTGGGACCATTACTGGTGGTGGTACTTACGGAATGTATGCCGTTACAACCGGTGGAGAAAGGTCCCCTAATGAATTACGTATTCTGGATACGGCATACTCTAATGGGGATACTGTTAGTGATGTGCGCTATGGTGCAGGCGAAAGCGTGGATTCCGGAGATGGCAATGACGATGAAACAGGTTCTTATAGTGGCGATTGGCTCTGCTTTAGTGTACACAGCGTCGAATATCGTGATCGCAGATCTGTGGGTATTTCCGATTCCTTTTCTCGTGGTGGCTGGTGCACCTTTAATGTTCAGTATTTGGGCGATTTTGAGTCGAATAGTATTAAGACCGTGCCCATTAGAGGGCGTGCAAGATGGAAAGTTCCGTGCCCGTCAGTTTCTATTGCTAACTGCTGTACACGCCTCACTTTTGGGCCTTTACCCAGCCTATCAAGCGGTATTTCTCGCACTGGACGGGTTACTACAGTTAGGGATGATTGCACTGTTACCGGCAATTAACCTCGCTTTAAAAAACCTCCAGACAGCAATCGGGTCACATTTGGAGGATAATTTACCTGAAGTTATTATCTTCAGCATCGACGTCTTCAGCGCGATCTACTCCGTTCTCTGTATGCACAGCGCTAACTCGATGAAGATGGTCGCAATTACGATTGTTTTAAACACATTAGTCATGTTTCTATCACTGCATGGGATGAACCGTCGATCTCGAGTCGCTCGAGCCTGTCGATCCTTCCAACTGATGGAGCGCCAGCAAGAAAAACTCCGCCGTCGGCAATCAGTTCTCGACTCTGTGGTTAGAACGGCTGGTAACCCTGCGTTGCTAAGTACACTAGTTGATACGATGCTGAGGTTACTACAAGCTCCAGGTCAGCTAGACACTGCTGAACTTCAAGCCATTCGACTGTACTCGGGGATGCCTCAGAAGCTCTCGGATTCAAATGTAGCTTTACTGGATAGTCTGGCAGCTCGATCAGTATACAACACCAGTCGACGCAGCTCTGACGCTATGTCGGTAGCTCAGATCAAGGAACGGTATTCGTCCGCTGCGATGGAAGGTCGTCCTCTAAGAGCCTCGGAATTACCAGTACCTACTCCATCCCGTTCAAAGTTAGTTCAACGACTTCGAGGGGCTGCACTGGTAATTCCAACTGCTCGATGGTTAAGTTTACGGATCAGCACACGAACAAGTTCTCGTCTAAATGATTCTACTCGATGTCTGTCGGAAAACCGCGAGAGTCTCAATAAAAGTACCGAGTCGGATGAATCAGAAGTAGAGAAGATACCCGCGTCACTAGCCTTGGAATCTCCAGCTCCAAAGATCTCGCAGCTCGTAGACGCAGCGTCAATACCAGTTTTAAACCCCAAAACTCGTCAGAAATCCAATCGACGTAGTATTGCTAACTTGTGGCAAGAAACTTCGGAGAAATTACTACCGCTTGTCTCGAAGAATAACCCTGTTATCGGTATTGTACTGGACGAGACGAGAAAGCAGAATACCAGAGCCGTTAAGCAGACACTCCAGTTGTTGTTTAACAACGAGTACATCGGACTGATAGCGTACGCCCAGTGTATTATTCCGGTGTTGTACCTGCTGTACATGCCCGCACTTCAAGCTTTGCCTAATCACGTGTACTACCCGACACATTATCGATATTTTGGAGACGCGATTGAATTCGAGGAACGGATGATGGTGGTCGGTATTCTAGCGCTAATGCAGTTGCTGATACTCGTGACGTTGCAAGTTATTGTGATGAAGCGGTTCGGTATCTCGACGATTTACCAGGTGGCGTTTGTGTTAGAGTCCCGGTTTGTGATGTTGCAATGTCGAGTCTTGATGTGGCTCGTATTTGCAGTACAGTCAACGCTTATACACTACGGTAGGTCCCTCCCTTTTGCTGCAACACATTGGTTTCTGTAAGTGTTTGATATTGTGGTCTGATGTTCATCAGGTGTCGATTTTACTTTTCAGTTCGACTGGCTGAAGAAATGATACTAGTAATGAGAGCGTTAGATAACACCAATCCAAGTGGCCTAAAACAAGGTTAATCTTAATTAGCCTTTCTTTATGTCCCACTGACACAGTCAAATTTAGCACGCGAAACTTATTAAATTATAAAGCTGTAAACAGATTAGATTAAATATCTGTAAACTTATGCAAGCCCAATTGTGCCTGACATTAATTCCGAGATGAGCTTGTTTAGTTTACTGATATTAATTAAGATTTTTTTAAGTTTACGGAGATTTATTTTATCTTGTATAAGTTTACAGTAATATTAAGCGATATACAATCTATTTGTGAAACAAGCAATACAGTAGCAGTGGGGTCAGCTATTCTTCACCAACTAAAAGGACTACCTAGTCCATCGCTACTTTTCGCCAGTCATTGTTGCGGCGGCTGGGTTGACATGCCTAGGAAATGTGGTACAGCAGTGGCCCCATTCCCAATTCCGCTGGAGACTCAATCTCCAGTACGACCACGCCCACCACATGAGCGACAACAGAGTCAAATTGTCATTGGAACGATGAAAATAATCGGCAGTTCACTTGGCCCGCTTTATCATTTATGGGAACGACTGCAAGTGAGTCATTGTGGACAATACTCGGTGGAACGGATGTTGGCATTGGAGGAATACGGACAACGGGTATCACCTTTTCGAGTGGCTGCAGTGTGTATATTAACTCCGTTATCTCCGTTGTTACTAGTGGTATTAGCGGCATATCTCCCTCTTCGTCGAGCAGCTGAAGGTCCTGACGTTAACTTCATGTTCTGGATACGACATTTTATCGTTGTGGGCTCCGCGATACTTAGTATTTTAATGCAAGCAAAAGCGTGGCTTTCGGAACTTCCGTTAACGACAAGAAGAATCATCGGAGTGACCATTTGCAGTGCTGGAATCACTCTCGCGTTCGACATTATGCTGGCAAACGTGTGGGTTTTCCCGGTCCCGTTCATGAATGTGCTTCAGACTCCAGTAGCATTCCTAGGCTGTACCTTCATTACAAGTCTCGTATTGGGTCGAGGAGTGCTTGGAGATGTTCCAGACGCCGAATTTCGAGTGAATCGCTATGTTATGCTCATCGCAGCTCAAGCATCTTTAGTCACGATCTACCCTGCATATCAAGCTCTTTTTCTCGTCGCTCCGACAGTCATTCAACCACATTTAATGGCTCTACTGACACTTGTGAACGTCGCAGTGAAGAACGTGCTTGCTGCGTGTGGAGCGCACTTGGAAGACCGACTACCCGAGGTGATTGTGTTTACAGTGGACGTCTTTAACGCTCTGTATTGCGCTCTATGTATGCGAAGTACCAAATCCTTAAAAATGGTCGCGATAGTTGTGACGCTCAACGTGGTTGATTTGACACTCGCTCTTCACGGAATGAACCGACGATCACGTGTTGCATTAGCGAATCGAGCGATTCAACAGAAGCGATATCGGCAGCAAAGATTAACCGCTAGAGGGCTAGGAAATAAAGATCAAGAAGAACCGGAACACTCGCTTGGAACTCTATTCCAAGCCACCCTCAAGCTGCTCCAGTTACCTGGTCAACTGGACCCAGCCGAACTACGTCAGATCTGCTTGCTTTCTTGTGCAGAACACAATGTATCGGAAGCTAACAGGGCTCTACTTGCTGCTCTTGCTGCTCGATGCGTTTACCATAACGACCGAAGGCCTACTAATTTACGATCGATGGCAGAACGCAAGTCTCGCTACTCCTCCACAGCGATGAGTGGCCCAGAGCTGGGGGCTGAGTACTTTTCAATGGCCGTAAAGCCTCCTTCTCGCTTCACACAGAGACTAAGAGCAGCAGCACGACTAATACCCGAAGCAGGGAAGCGATTGAGCGTTCAGATTGGCACTCGGCTTGGTAATTCTTTCGGTTTTCGGATCGATAGTCGTGGGCAGCTCAGTCAACAGAAAGAGGACGGGGACGAGGAATCGGATACTGACAGCTTCGACAATGACTCAACGCCACATGAAGTGACTGAACTTACGTCTTCTTCACCTTCTTCACGACGACAATCGACTGGGCCCGGAACGCCTACACCAATTGAGCCATTTCCACGTCGAATACCTGGTCTGACGGACACCCCACGAAGGATATCAACGCAGATGGGGTCAGGATCATCGCGACGAGCATCGACGCAAATGCGCTCTGGTTCTTCGCGAAAAGTGTCAGCTCAACTAGATCCTACGACTTTGAATCAAAGTCGTTCAGGTCGGCGGTTAATGAACCATTTGGGCTCTTCCAGAAGACTTGCTGAGCTCGTCGCTGTGTCTACGAAGCTGGAAACGTCACTAAAGCTACAGCCCTTACTGATGCGTGAAAACCCCGTGATCAACGACATTTTGAAGGAGACTAGGAAGCAGAATACGGTGGCTGTGAACCAGACACTCCAACTGCTATTTAACAACGAGTATCTCGGTCTCATCGCGTATGCGCAGTGCATTACACCTATGATCTATATGACCTATATAATGATCATGCAAGGGATGCCCAATCGAGAATTTTACCTAAATGGACGCGATTTGGACGATCTGGAAGGGCTCGCACAGCGATTCACCGTCATTGCAGCGTTTGTGGGACTTCAGACGGCGATTTTAATAGGTCTACACCTTTTTGTCGATGTTCGGTTTGGAGTTTCGACATTGTATCAAGTGGCATTCGTGCTGGAAACTCACGCTCGACTTGTACAAGGCAAAATCGCCACGTGGCTCTTGTTCGCAGTGAGCTTCATGTTGGAACACTACGGTAAGTTTAAAGGACGGGGGGTTGGTGTTTGTTTGCTCATTATTCTTGATTTTCTTAGGAGTCGATTTCTCGTTTCGATTCCAATGGATACACGAACAAGCACCCCCACCGCCTCCGCGTTGATACCTAACAAAAAACTGTGAAATAGTTTAATGTTATCGACTGCGCCATACGCTTGGGTGGTTGAGAAATCAGGGGTCACCGTGCTTATAAGCTTGTCGAACGTAGGCTCGCTCTGGGTGAATATGTACCGCCATGCGTCAATTGGTAACTTGGTAATTCACTGAAAGTGTAAGTCAACATGGACGAAGTCTGCCCCGAAAAGCAAGTTCACTGGCCTTACCGCCGAATGTGGAGCGCACTATCCTCGAACGTCCCGTCCGACAATGCAAATCACTGCAAAGCGACAAGAACTGGAAGCACCCAACACGGCGAGGAACGGGATCGGAAAGACTCAGCATTCCGTCACCACGATGTCCAGCAGTGTCGCAGTTGCAGACTCCATCGTCGAGGCAATGGCTGGATGGGATGGCGCTGTAGCAGGATCAGTCTCACCTGGCGACGTATCTGGTCCAGCATGCATTAATTCTTCAAGACTCCGTCGGAACTGATCGACACAGTAAAACCTCATGCATTCGCCGTGAATACAGTATTACGTATTGCTGTCATTCTTTTAAAGTTGCGTACCTGTCCACTTCAACCAGAAAGGGCCTTGGCGGGCGTTCAGTTGGCTCAAAGATCGAACGTCCCAGACTTCTGAGGCGTGGTGCCAACGACCACACCCCGAAAGACGTGCATCTCGGTGTGGTGGAGGCAGGTTTTAACAACTTTTTATCCGAGAAATTCTCTGTTCTCCTAATAAAACAGCTAAAAGAAATAAAGATAGGGGTTTTTTTCGAGAAGCTATGCTACAGCCTTCAAAAATGCAGGAAAAAAGTGATGGACGTCATGGAACAAGCAAGTTGCCTTCAACTGTTCCGGCTCGATTAAAATCGTTCAACTCGGATTCGCAAGGTGCGTCCTCGTCTGCTTTTCGCTCCGAGACGATCGGTCTCGGACGAAAAGTTGGTTGGACCAGGCGTCAGCCAAGTCCACACCGAGCAGACCTTTGGCCTCGCTGCCACAGCCAGTCGTTCAATGAAGACACCATCTACAGTAGATATATCTGCACCCGTCAAGTGATTCGCTTCGATTCCCTTGACGTATACTTCGAAGTACATGTATCAATGTTCGTCGCCTCGATCCAATTGACATGCGAGTCTTTGCTTACTGCTGTCTCAAATCGCATCCCACTGCGGCGTCAAGCTGCTCGCCATGACGACGCCACACAATGCGCGACGAGGGAGCACCGGCGAGTCGTGAAGCCAAGCACTTCGAGCCAAAAAGGCCAACACGCAGCAGCAGCTGCTGCAACTCGAAAAAAGGCGACGCACTGCCATGGCATAGAAACTGGAAGCAATGGCTCTGTCAAGGCTATAGTCGACCGCAAAAATTCCAAACGCTACATGAACGGCACAGCAAAGAGACCATTGAAACGTCCGCCCATGACAGCCTTGATGTTCATGAGGAAAGCGAGAACACCGCAAAACGCACCTGGCGGTGGTACCTTGAAAAACCATTCGATGCGAATATGTCACCAGCCCAATACAGTTGTGACGAGAGATAGTGAGGTTTCAAACAGCACTTGTATAGGAACTATAATACGTCATAGCATGCTGGAAGGCCGACGAACGCCGAGACATAGTTGATAACGTCGCGTCGTAACGTCAGACGAGTCGAATAAGATGCACATCGCTACTGTATCGGCACTTTAGCAAAATGTATGGTCACCCGGTCATGTATGGCGTCGGTTGTGCAACTTGTAAGACGCTTGAGTCAAATGACAGCGCTACGCTAGCGCTCGTGTTCGCCAACTACGTAAATTTTCACAGGGTACTGCGAGTTCCCGGACGTTACGGATCAGCAGCAGCAGCTTCAGCTTCCCTTCTCGGTGGTATGTGGATGGTAGGTCAATATTTTCTTCCGTGTACTTACTAGCAATGCCGCCAGTGGCAGCCGCACCTCTGCGAGACCAAAGGCGGTGTTGAAGTCGCTTCCTCGATAGCAGACGCGCTGGTTGTCTGCACAGTCAGAAACGAGGCCGTTAACCTCTTTGAGCAGAAGCGCCACGGGTGAGAAAATGACCAACGGGGCCTTTCACAGGCGCGCCGATGAGCGCTGGCCGCCATTGAGCCCCAATCCATTCACTCTATCACGGAGGAGCGGCGGCCGTGGGATCGTAAGCCTCGTCTTCTCTCAGCAGCAGCATCGCACCTCGCAGCGGCGGCAGTGGTCTCTTCACTTGAGAACTGAGCTCGAGAGCGACACGTCTCGCGACGACGTCTCTAAAGGCTTGGGCTCCTCCACCGAACAGGCCATCACCTGCCTCTTACGTCCACCTAACCGAGGACGTCATTGGCTCAGCCCAATGGCCGCACGGTCTCCTCTACAGCAGCGGTCTTCTGAGTCGTCGATCACGGACCGCACGCGCACGTCGTCCGGGTCTGGATCCACCCGCGTAACACTCACGCGACGTCTGACAAAGCAAGTCTATGTGGGCGCCATGGAGGTGCCGCCCGACGCCGTGGGCATCGACAAACCGGCCCCCGGCCAGCTCACAGTCGCGGTTAAAGTGCGGGCGCTCACGCTCGACTCGGACCGCAACGGCGGCGGCGGGTTGCGCACATGGCAGGAATGGCGTACAGTTCAGAGACTGCTGGCCCTCGAGCGTGAGGCCGACAATTACGTGCTGCGTGCGTCGTCCGCACTCAGCAGGAACAGAAGCAACACCGTCGGGCGCAGCGTCTTGGACGGTCGACGTCACATTGTCCGCTACTATACCACGAGCGTGGAGAGCGAATCGTTCCGCCTTATTATGGAACACTGTCCAGGCGGCGACCTGCTCTCTCAATTGATAAGTAGGGGGGCTCTGGGGCCACAGCCGTCGCAACGGGTCTCGCAACAGGAGGCGCGTCGCTGGGTGCTGCAGCTCGCACGCGGTCTACGGTACCTGCACGCGAGCGGCATCGCCCACCGGGACTTGTGTCCCGAGAATATTCTCATTAGTAGGACGGGCGACGTCAAGATCTGCAACTTCGGTGCTAGCACCACCCGAGCAGCAGAACTCTCGCGCGACCGCGTGGCCGGCAACCTGCACTACACAGCCCCCGAAGCCGTGAGCGGCACCTGGTACGACCCCGTGCGTGCCGACGTCTGGTCGCTGGGTGCGGTTTTCTTCGTCCTGTTGACGGGGTCGCCGTTACTGCGACTCCCGTTCCCGGAGTGCCGCGGTTTCGAGCTCGTTAAGACTGTCGGGTGTCGGGGCGTGCTCAAGCTGTGGAATATGGACCAGCTCTTCTCAGCCGCGACGATGGATCTTCTGGCTAAAATGCTCACGGTGGATCCAGCCAAGCGACTGGGAAGCATGAGGGAAGTATTGGAGCATCCAGCGATGCTGGCCACAGCTCATACAGAGCGTAGTCTCATTGCTGTGTGACAGTGAAGGAAGAGGGCGAAGAGAAGAAGATGAAGCATTTATCTAGAAGTGGGAGAATTTTAACAGCGCGGCACCGACCAATTGATAAGCGCGTGCCGGCAAATTGCAAGTAACAAGTGAAAAAAAATTATGTTATATGTCAATGAATAATAAAGCTGAATTCAAGACATTCGCGGCCATTATCAGTGTCAGGTGTACAGTAGCTATTCGTTCTCTTCGTTAGACGTCAGGACAATCAGATGCGGCGTGTTTAACGTGTTTAGCATGCACATGTAGCAGCGTTGAGTTGAGTTAAACTGCTGCATAGACTATTTATTATCCATGTTTTCTCGACTCCTTACTATCGACAAACTATCCTTTTCGCTTCAACAACGCCGGAAAAGCTGGCTTCGCGATGTGTTGCGTCGCGCCAGTTGAATGGATCCATGTTGAAAGCAAATCTGCTACTAAATGTCATGCTGGCACCGCATCGCCGCTGTCTGTCCAAGATAAAATGCTGGAGAGAGAAGCACGGCCACGATAAGCTCACCGACTCTTCCCGCTCTTGCAGGCAGCACTGCGTGCATGTACCTGGTCATCAATGCCAGTCTCATCTCACACTTGCTATGCTTACGGCCTGAATGAACGCAAATGGCTGATTGCGTCCAAGGACGTCAATTACTAAACGGATTCGCTGACGGTGACGAACCAGTTTGTCCACCTGCAGGCGTGTCCTTGCTGCTCTGCGTCTGGAGAAATCCAGACGCAGCGCTTGTCCAGCGAAGCATCAAGGCTTTCCAGCAGAGAGATTGTCGTCGCATCTGATGCGCTGACAGTTTGTGCTGTCGAAATTCGACGCCTCGATGCGACGGGCTCACCAACAAGCGAACACGACAAGGCGAGCGCGTTATGAGCAACACCAGGGACCGAAGTCCTTTTCCAACGCTGGATAGGTACATCGATTAAGCAGCACGACACTACAGTAACAATGGATCGTCGCCAACCACGTCACTTTAAAGTTAAGTTACATTGTTGCGTACAATACTTCGCGCATAGTCTTGATCATCACTTTCCCCCAGTCGCCGATTCCACCTTCCAGTTCTTGTTGAGCGAGCGGTGGAATAAAGAACTCTGGCCGGTGGATCTTTAGGTAACCTGCACGACGCATAGTGACCACTATTTCGTCGTCACCACCGTATTCACCAGTCGATTGTTTCTTCTGTTTGCTCGCTGTCATCACTACGCCACCTGAAATGTCCTTGCGAATGTGTCTGGATGACTGGTACGGGTAGAGCTCGTCTTCATCCACAGAGTCCGAAGCCACAATGGCACACGGTTCGCCACCAAACTGGGGGTGTCCGTTTTCAAAGAACTGCACGAACACGATCGTGTTCGTCTCCGTCGTGATCCCATTGCTGTCGGTCGCTATGATACGCGAATTGTACGCTGAACCTTCCATCATGTCGTAGTCTTCTCGCACCGCAACGTGGCCTAGTCGCTCGGAGATACTGATTTCCATATTGGTCAAATAAAACCAAATAGCCTCGAACACTTGCTTGAGTGATCGGACGCCTGGAAAATGCACCACGGTACTCCCCAGACAGCAGGTATCTCCGTTGTCAGTCTGGAACACCTTGCTCGTGTCTTTCCCTTGTCCTTCAGGCGTGTGGCTGCCGCACGCCATCACGTAGTCGTACGCATTCTTCAGCTTCTCCGCCCGAATGGCCTTAAGCACAGCTCTACGCTCGTTCTTGTCTTTCACAAGACAAATACGGGTGCACAAAGGATTCGAATACTGCGCTCTCTGCTCCATCCAAAATAGTGTTGGTTAGCGCACGGTTTCGAAGTAAACATTGAATGCTACGATCAGCTCACCACGCATTCCGTCATGAGCGATTGCGCGGCAGCAATCCTCAACCCCTGTTGTTTGGCAGAGTCCGCCAGCGCCTTCGACTTGGCTTTGGATTGTTGAAGTCCCGGGTCTGCAGCTAAGGCTGATCCCGCCGGCATCCCGCGAGTCTTGAGCACTGCCACTTGAGCTTGTAGCTGCAGCAATTCGTCCTTTAAATTCTTCCCCTCTTCCTGTTATAGCAGCAGAAACGTCAGTTAGACACGAAGGGCATCAACCATGTACAGACTCAAATGCTTACGCGACTAACCTTTCGCACGAGGTACGAGGGCTTGCGTTTTTTAACGCCCAGATATTCGCAGGGCTCAGTTAACTCGTCAGGTGGAGGCGAATACGCAGAAACGCTGTGGCAGTGAGAGCTACGGTGTGGTAAGGCCATTATTTTCAAATGAGTGATCGCCGGAGTTCTTGAAAAATGGAGCGTCACCATTTGGCGATGAATTTAAGGAGTGATAGGAGTGAGTTGTGAGAGCATCATCAAAAGGAGGAATTACCATAAATCAGTGAAAAACACCGAGATATGTCAAAAGGATTGTGATTATTGCCTTGCATTTCCATGCCTGTGAACATTTAGTAATCCCAATCTTTCATATTTTGTAAAGGTGTGAATATTACTGCAGCGGGCGACGAATTTTAGTAATGAAACGGATATTTCTGTCAAAGAGTACGTGGATACTATTTTACTGTCAAAACCCAACTGGGATTAACACAAGAGCATTTGCAGATAAAACGTTAAAATTCTAGTATACGACACTTCCACCTTGCGTGCTACTGTCATGGGCTGGCTCCTGTCGGGTATGTAAAGTGCAATTATAGGTACTACAGGTGCCTCACCAAAACCGATATGCCGTTTGCTTGACACCAAAGCCTATTTCTGATTTTCATCTACTACTATAGTACTCAGCGTTTATGCCACAGCGCAGATGATGCGTTAGATTATATCCAAGTGCTTTTTGCTTCTATCACTGGTAGAGCATAAATGGAACTACGCAAACGTGGACAAATCGAGGGTTCTTTTGGAGGCGATAGTGATAGTCTATCACCTTCAAGACCCTCGGTATTTGCATGTCCGTGTAGTTCCATATGTGGTTTTACTGCTGCTTTCAAGGCCATTGCCTCCTACTTCCAGGGAATTGAATGGCAGCTAATGACTAAATGTAGTGATCAAAGAGCCAAGGTTGCTTGCTACAAGCAGGAAATCGAACTACGAGGCAGTTAAATCGTACAGTAATTCGGACGCATACCTACAGAAGTTCGAACGATACACCGGTGAGTTAACGCAGTTGCCATAGTAACTGTTTAATGAACTTGTGATTTAGTTTTAGAGCAAGAAGTGTAATTTTATGAGGCACGAACTGATGATATTAATACTCCAGGGCACATTAGTACTACAAACAAGCACTGACGTCAGTACTTCTCAAGTTTCAATTCGTTTTGACATATCTCAGTGCTTTTCACTGAATTATGGTAATTTCTCTTATCAAAAGTGAGTGACCACATGTGTCAATCGCTGACGTGATTGGTATAGTAACTGCAAGTGAAAGGCAAAACAAGAGCCGGTAAGAAGATGATCGTGGCGTGGGATCACCTAATCTGCTGCATATAGTTTAATCACGTTCGGGCATAGAGGACTTCTCTCATACTATGCGATAGGGGCAAAGCCATGATCAGGGCTATGACTCATAGCCCTGATCATGGCTTTGCCCCTATCGCCAATTCCTGCTTCCAGTTCTTGTTGAGCAAGTAGGGAAACTGGGAATTCTGGATGACGCAGTTTCAAGAAGCCTGTGCGGCGACTAACTTGGTGTTGCCAGTGCTGGCTGTCATCACGATCCCACCCGAAATGTTTTTGGGTACTTTGCGTACACGTTCAGACGAGTTCTACGGATACAACTCGTCCTCGTCGGCGCAGTCCGAAGCCACAATCGCATATGGTTCTCCACCAAATTTCGGATCGCCCTCTTCGAAGAACTGCGCGAACACGATGGTACTCCGTCATGATCCCATTGCTATCGCTTGACAAGATGCGCGCGTTGTACTCTATGCCATCGATCATATCGTAGTCTTCCCGCACAGTAATGTGACCCAGTCGCTCCGAGATACTGATCTCCATGTTCGTTAGATAAAACCAAAGAGCCTCAAACACTTGTCGCAGTGATTCCACGCCTGGGAAATGAACCACAGTGCTTCTCAAAGAGGAAATGTCGCCGTTGTCCGTCTCGAAGAACTCTCTTGACATTTGTCCTTGGCCCTCAGAGACGTGTCTGCTACAGGTCGTCACGTAGTCGTAGGCATTACGCAACTTCTCGAATAGCTAGCAGCGTCGCTCTCCGCTCTCCCCAGTCCTTTTTTGGGCATATTCGAGTACACAATGGGTTTGGTTCAGCAATAGCAGTCAGTAACCAGCGTTGGAAATCTATTTTTCTTTCTTACCATGCACTCTGTCATGCGCGATTGAGCTGCTGCAACGCTCAATCTCTGCTGCTTCGCAGCATCAAGCAGTATCTTGGACTTAGGTTTGGCTTGTTGCAATTCTGGATCAGTAGCTAGTGTTGTGCCAGCAGGCAATCCCTGCCACAAAACGGAGTTTTTGACGCCGCACCTTTCGGACGAGATACGTGTACTTACGCTTCTTAATCACGGGGGAGTCACTGCTCTCAGTGGGGTCGTCGGAAGTTTATCCGGGAGCGATCGAGGTATCTCGTAAACAGGTATTCGGTGCTGACGTGATCGACGGAAGTCTACGAATGAATTTCTACTTGCTAGGACCAGTTGGTTCGTGTACAAGATTGGCAGCAATCATTCCTCCGGCTTGCCAAACGAAGTGATCAGCAATTGTTATTATGGCCGTGATAAACTGCCGTTAACTAAGGCACCACCTTAGGACCGTGCGTAGAGAATTTCACGCATGGCCTTGATCATGACTGTGCCCCAGTCTGCGATCCCAGCTTCGAGCTCTTGCTGCGCTAACGGGGGTACTGGGAACTCAGAGCGATGCAGTTTCAAAAAGCCTGTGCGTCGCATGGTGACGACCATTTCGTCGCCTCCGTCGGATGCTCCACTGTCCGCGGTCATGACAATTGCGCCCGAAATGTCCTTGCGAATGTATTCCGATGGCCGGTACGGATACCGCTCGTCCTCGTCGACGCAGTCGGAGGCCACAACGACGCACGACTCGCCGGCATAGCGACGATCGTGCTCTTGGATCAGCTGCATGAATACAACTGTGTTTGACTCGGTGGAGATGCCATTGCTATCACTGGACACGATGCGTGCGTTGTACGCTGACCCCTCGACCATGTCGTAGTCTTCTCTCACTGTGATGTGGCCGAGTCTCTCGGAGATGCTGATCTCCATGTTGGTCAAGTAGAAGCACAGAGCTTCAAAGACCTGCTCCAATGACTGGACGCCTGGGAACTTTACCACAGTGTTCCCCACGAAGCAAATGTCGCCTTCATCGGTCTCATATTGTTCGTTAGAGTTTTGACTATCAGCTGCGAAGTGACTGCGGGCCATGACGTAGTCGTACGCTGTTGTGAGCTTGTCCTCCCGGATGGCCATGAGAGTCGCTCTACGCTCGCCCCAGTTCGTTTTGAGGCGGATACGTGAGTGCAATGGATGTGAGTATTGCGTTCTCTGTTTATTAATGTAGAGGCGTCAGTACAGCAGTCAGTGGTCAAGAGTATGACAACGTACCGTGCATTCCATAGCCAAAGATTGCGCTGCAGCGACACCCAACTGTTGGTTCTTGATAGTGTTGGTCAGCACCTTCCACTTAGCTGTTGACTGCCGTAGTAATGGGTCTGCTGCAATGGCTGCACCCGTGGGCATTCCTTTGGTCTTGAGCACAGCCACTTGGGCCTGCAGCTCCAGGATTTCGTCCTTCAAAGCTCGTTTTTCTTCCTGGTAATAGACACATGAGCCTATGAATCAAGTATAAGACAAAGGGCAGAGGCGCACCTTGCGCACGAGATACGTGGGCTTGCGCTTCTTGGCCGTAGACACTGGTGATCGGCAAGAAGTTGAGACGTCCGACATGTTGAAAAGTAACAATTCGGTGAATTCACAGATCTCCTCGTATTAACCGCCAAGTAATCGTGATAATATTATAGAGGCAATCGATCTTGTACTAAGTAAAGAATTATTTCTTGTGTAGAGAAGCGTGGAGCTATAAATTATAAAAGGGTATAACAACAACAACAACAAACTTTAGTTTCCGTGGTATGTCGAGTTGTACGCTCAGGCTGATTGATTATCTCAAGTTCTGGCATACAGCACTTCTCGCATTGTCTTGATCATCACTTTACCCCAGTCGGCAATTCCATCTTCCACTTCTTGTTGTGCAAATGGGGACAACGGGAATTGCGGGTAATGCAGTTTGAGTATACCTGAGCGCCGCATGACGACTTCAACTCCGCTTTCTGCCAACTGACTGTCCTGTTGTCTGCTAACAGTCAGTACTATCGCACCCGAAATGTCTTTGCGAATGCGTTCTGCCCCATTATACGGATGCAACTCGTCCTCATCGACACAACCTGAAACCACCACAGCACAAGGTTCCCCTCCAAACCTCGCGTCGCCTTTTGCAAAGAGCTGCGTGAATACGACCGTGTTTGACTCGGTACTGACGCCGTTCTCGTCGCTTGAAATGATACGGCAATTGAACGCCGATCCCTCGATCACGTCGTAGTCTTCTCTTACTGTAATGTGGCCCAGTCGCTCCGAGATACTGATCTCCATGTAGTTTAAGTAGAAGCAGAGAGCGTCGAAAACCTGCTCTAACGACTCCACGCCTGGGAAATGAATCACAGTGTTGCTAGTGCAGCAAACGTCGCCGTCGTCGGTCTCAAACTTCTCCTGTGATTCTTGATCGCTGCTGTTGGCAATGCATTGATTGCGTGCCATGGCATAAGTGTATGCGGTTTGCAGCTTTGCCTGTCGTATGGCCACGAGCGTCGCTCTCCTCTCGCTCCAGTCCTTCTTTAGACAGATCCGTGACCACAGAGGATGAGAGTGTTGCGTTCTCTAGGCCAATAAACAGTCAGCTACCCAGTCTGTACATTTTACTACAGCATCCTCACCGTGCACTCGAGCATAAGTGACTGAGCTGCAGCAACGCCAAGCTGCTGGTTCCTCCCAAATTCACACAGCGCGTTCGACTCCCCAGCGACTTGCTGCATTGATGACACAGCCATCGGTATCCGCTGCATCTGCAGTGTTGCAACCTCAGCCTCCAGCTTCACTACTTCATCTCGCAAAGCCTTCTCCTCTTCCTTGCGGACTAAGTACGTGGGCTTGCGCTTCTTGGCTGCAGGCGACTGGCTGCTCTCAGTGGGGGCGTCGAACGGCGTTGGGGTATGTTGCATTGGTGATTGTGAAAAGTGTCTACAGTAAGGAATTTTGACTTGCGTAAACTAAGGTACAATCATTCCTTGATGCTTGTCAAAATAAAAATAATTGAGCTGAAATGAAGGTCTATTGTGTTTTTATTTCTTGAGAATGGCATTGCGATCAACTAGAGCAAGCGTCTGCAGCAGGTTACAAATTGAGACGCAGCGTCTTGCCCACGTGATTCCGACGTGGCTGCTTGGTCACCGTGATGTGAACGGGGTGGAATGGCTTCTTTCCGGTGGTGGAAGGGAGGCTGGTGCCGGATTGGGCGATCTTGTCGTGACTAGCAGCGTTGCCCTTCTGCAGATGAGCATGCTGGTGTGCAGCTGTCGACTCGCTGTGGTTGGAGCAATCCATACAGCGGCAGTGCGACGTGCAGGCGATGCCGTTCTGGAAGCACTCGCAGTATTTCTTCAAACACTTGGACTTCTTACAGCGACACCCACGCATCACGACCGCGCTAGATTTCTATCAGATAGAAACGGCATTAGAAACCCCAGGAATCAATAAGATCACGAGATATTGTAGCTGTACCTGCGGCAGGAGGTGAAGGAAGCCCGTGGTGTTGGTATCTTGAGGAAGCGACGTGAAGGAGAAGGCGCGAGGATCATTGGCTAAATAGTTCTGGATGGCTTCCACACGCTCGGTCTGGTTATTGCGTCCGTTCTTGCAGTCGTCACAGGCGCATCCTGCGTGGCAAAAGCCTCTGGAACTGAAGCACATGCAGTACATTTTGAGGCAACCGGTTTTGCATCCGCAGCTCGTGGACGAGGACACGCTGGACGCTTGGATCTGCTGTGCGTGCCGTAGCAGTAAACGCTGTCGTTTCTTCTCCTTTGCCTGCTCTGGCTCGTGATCAAACCGCGCTGAGATCTGCTGCGAGTTTGTCGAGCAGGTTGCTGGCAATTTAGTGTCATTGGCACGTGTGTTGATTCTAGAGTCGTCCAGGCTAGTCCTGGACTTTGTTACGGAGATTCCTGTCTTGATCTTTTTGTTCTGTGGCAAATGGAACATGTTGGCTGCCTCTAGGTCTGTGAGACACACAGGCAGCGAGGAATTGGAGCCGTAGCGCTTCTCCAACAGCGCCAGCATCATGTCCATCCAGGCCAAATTCTCGCTCTCTTGTTCGTCTGACTGGCCCTCGGAGAGGGTTGGCGTCTTCGCCTCGTTGGCTGCTGCAGTCGCTGGGCGTTTGTGGCCTGTTATCAGGCCCTCAGTGGCGTTATTTGTCTTTGTAAAGGTCTGTTTTGAGGTGGCCGCCTGCCTGCGCACTTTCTTGGCTTCTACTGGGTCTGTAGGTGCGTGTGAGGGCGCATTCGACGGCGGACGTCTTGTTGGGTTTAATGTCGGTCGAGGGCGGTTGCTGTCGATGCTGTGGAGTGCGCGGCGGAGAGTTCGAGCGCTTGTGTCATGCGCATTGGAGCTTTTCGCTTCCGGCGCTTTGATGGCCGATCTTGACGCCGATACGAGTGACTTGGTGGAGATTTTCGCATCGACAGGATCCTGGTTTTCTTGCGCTTCAGATGAGGCCAGGGCGTGAGCCCCTCGAGCTGTGAGGGCCGAGCGTCGGTCCATGATCTACGCAATACGGCGGAGCTCGGGAACTGATCCACTCACCAGCTTTGGCGCGGCAGACAAATTCAAACTTCCACTTGCCGCGAAAGCGAAGCGCCTTCGGATTGGCGGAAAAATGGAGATTGTTGTTTTTTTCGCTAATCAGAGCGCGTCTCAATAGTGATAGTTGATTAGCTGAAAAAGAAGAACGCGTTTCCAACATGTGATATGTGATTGGCTAAAATCGATTTAAACCAGTATTTTGGAAAGACCGGTAGAAAGCGGTATTCAAATACTTTGTGTCCTAGAACGGTTCTAAGCCCAACCTATATAACTGCTCTTACTTGGCGTATCCGTACAGTGTCGTCTCTCATGCGGCCGCGGAGCCGCGCAGACGTAGCCGCTTCCACGTATTCTCACGCACGGCGTTCTGCAGCAGGTCGTAGATCTGGTTGCAACCCTCAGTGGCCGCCTCCATGAGGCTCTCGACCAGCTCCAGCGGCAGCTTGCACTCCATTTGCAACAGGTTCAACTTCTGCGTGCGCGGATTCAGCGCGATGATCATCTGAGGTGCGCGCGCCACCTCCTCCGCGTAGTTCAGATCTACCAGCCACAACAGAAACCTATTAGTACATAACATAAATCCAGCACAGTCCATCAATCCAACGCACCGCAGAGCATAGTCTGTTGCAAGTATCCGGCCGAGGAGGCCACGACAAAGTCGTTGAGCGCAATGCCGGCGTCAATGAGCGCCAGTGTAATGGCGTTGATACTGGCTGGGAGCTCCCCGCCGTCGGCGTGCAGCACCTGAACAAAAATGTCGATCTGAGATCGCGGATACAGCTGCGTTTGGATGCAGGCCTCAAAAATCTGCTTGACAGCCAGCGACATCTCGAGCTTCTTGCGGTCGCCGCTGCGCTGAGGCTTGCGCTCCGACGTGGCGAAGGCAGCCTGTGTGAATTCGCAGTTGACCGTGGCACGCGGCTGCGTGTTGCTGGCAGCGTTGCCCGATCCGGTACCAACGGCTGCTGCACCGCTGTTCACGGAGCCTGCAGCGGCCGTACGCAGCTCGCGGGGTCCGTAGACCACCGCCACCACTTTGGTGTTACCCTGTTCGTAGTACGAAGAACCGTCCACGCGCGAGAAGAGCCCGAAGCGCGTGCGGATACGGCGCACCTCCTCGCTGCGGCGACCGTCCACGCGCAGACCTGCGACGGAGATGAACTCACCGCTGGCGTTGCCGCCCAGCACGCTCGCATTGCCTGCCTTCGCCGCCATGATCTTGCCGTTGAATTGGCTGGTGTCTGGATTACCTCTACCGGTTGATGACGGTATACCGGTTCTTATTCTCAGAACTATATGTGACGTGTGAGAATCTGAGCCGTGTGATGTGCTATCTGATTCTTCCGGATAATGAGATCCTTTGGCGATTCATCATTGCCTCTCCTCTATGGAGGGCTACAGCGCCCATCGTAATGTAAGCTTATACATGTATTAGCCGTAACTTTGCGGTGGTCGCACTTTCGCGTTGCTACTTTGTACGTTGATTATCTGAAGAGAATACTGGCGTAAATATTTCGGTTAGATTGTCGGGAAACGTCGCAATGGATCCTCGTATCATCAAGCGACTTCTCGGTGGTAGGAATGGAAGCGATATCTACCTCACCGACAACGAGCGAAGCGTCTCACCAACGTGGACATTCACCACCTGTCGGTCTGCAAATGGAGAAGGGAGAGCTGTCGGAAGATGTTTGGTCAGAACATGGATCGGGCTTTGGGATACCGACGGGAACTTTGGAGCTGTTGGAAGTGACCAGAAGAGAATGGAGACGTTCAATGGAGCTTCCATTGCCTCCACCGTTGCCAGAAGACGCACCTATTCTCCACGAGTTTTCACGGCCTTGGAGAGCTTTACGTCTTCCTATCCCCTCTACCCCAACTGAAAAGACCAGTAGGCTTTGTGATTCTGACGCAGTGGATCGAAACTAAATCGCTGTTCTGTAAATGACCAAAAGGTTCGTTGATGAGGAGCTACGAGCCTCAATATACGCCAAGTGAACCGACATTTGCGTCGGAAGTTCGCATGTCGTCCTTCCTGGAGCCTCGCGTGGCAGTGCCGGAAGCGCAAGCTTTTCTGATAACGCCACGTATTCGCTTTACCCTTGGCACAGTCAGTTCACTCTTGAGTCGTAGCTCTTCTTCTAATGTTCACTTACTCTCGGACTTGATTTGTAGATTGAGCCTCTTGTATGCAGGTTGGTTTTGTACGACATGTCGCTAGGCTGTCGAGCAACAGAGGAGTTTTGCTTTCGGATACCCGGTCCAATGCTGAACAAGGCAGATTGCACGATCCCCCCTGCAGCGTTAATGTATGTGCTACCAACACTGCAGATGCAGAATTTGTACTTGGTTCTCAAAGTGAGCAAAGTATTGGCTGGTGACGGGGACATTGCGGCCGCACCATACTGCACTCCTGACAAGTTTGCTTCGACGTCGGAGCAGCAAAAGTTGGTTGAGAAGGCGGTGGACTGTGGACTACGTCTAGGTCGATACCAGCAGCCATTTGCATGGGGAACGATACCATTAAGTAAGGGCATCAAACGATCCATGACTCTCTTCAGACAGCGAGGTTGCATACCCGAGGAGCAGCGTATTTCCCTGATTTCAGACGCCATTCGAGGCATTCTAAAGTGAGTTCTTCTCTGACTCCACGTTTGATACGAGTCTCACCCTGGTTGCTTTTTCTCTTTACCGTAGAGACAAGGTGATTCCTGCTTCGTGTGAGTTCGATGTTGATGATATTTCAGCTGAGGAACTAGCCGACGCAAAGTTTAAGAACCCAGAAATCTCGTCATCTTCACGGCCACGATTGAAAATCGCAGATCCCTTTACCATCAAACATCCTTCTGAGAGCGATGTCTCTGAGCAACATGGGGACAAAGGTATTCATTGTCGTGAGGTTCAGCCGTTTTGCACTTCGTCCCTGGTTCCAAAATTTGGATCAGTGGGGTCAGGTCCGGTTGCTGTCTCGTACGTCAACACACTGTACGTCTACCCGCTTCAGATCGAGAAGTGCCAATATCGTAACGTTGCTATTCGAGTCCAGTTGCTGCAAAGAGAAGTCGATGCTGTTCGTGGTGTGGAGGAGTCGGCAGAAGCAGTTCTTCAAGCCGTGTATCGAGCGAATAATCAGGTTGAACGCTCAGCTTTCGCGCCTGTAGGATATCACCAGAAGAACCCGCAGTTCGACGATGAGATCAAGATCTGCCTTCCAGAATGCTTGACAAGGGACCACCACCTCCTCTTCACATTTTATCACGTTCACTGCAAGAAACTGCAGCCCAATCAGCCGCAACAAGAAGTTGTAGGGTATGCAGTAATGCCGATTCTCGGTAAAGATGGCACTATCTTGCAAGACGGCAAATACACTGCGAACGTGACTCCTGCTCCAGCGTCTTCCAAACCGTTGGCGACTGGAGGCGGTATATCGCTATCTCCGGGCTATGTCGCTGCTGCACGAGTGGCCCCACTGGACAACAACAAGACCGTGTTCAGCTGCCGTGGTCGTGTAGTGTCCTCGATACACAGCCAAGACAGCGCGGTGGCAGCATTTCTAAGTCCATTCCATGGCAGTCCGAGGCCCGACGCTGTCGACAAAGAAGACGCCATCGTCAACCGTTTAATGGCTCTCAACCAGAGTAGTGCACTCAATGTCCGCTACTTTTTCTTCATGATCGCCAAGTTCGTACTCGGATATTTACGCCATGGCACATCAATTGTGCGATGGTCTGCATTCCGCACGCTTCTTGGTATCATGGAGAAGGCCAGTTGGAATCCGCGAGGATCGTTGAAAGTCCACGAGATGAACCGAGTACTCCATGATTTCGTCCACATTGTCTTCGACGAGAAGTGTATCGACAACCCCAGCAAGTCCCAGTCTCCTGCTAAATCTCCAACTAAAAGTGAGCGCAAGTCTGTCTTTGGTGCGCTGCTCGAAACGTGGCTGAACGTGCTGAATAACAAGGCTTCAATCGAAGAAAATGCCGACACGAAGCGGATGTCTCTGACGTATTCGAACGTCCTTCTCCAGCTCATCTTGAAATCGATGGCGATGAACTTGCTGGATCAGTGTGACACTTCAAGTGGTGACACTGCACATTCGCTACCGATGACGTTAGCCAAGAATGATGAGATGATGCTTGAACGCGTGTTGGATCAACTTATCGCGTGTGCGGGTGACACGACCAATGGGCTGCTGCTCCAGAAGGAAGTGAATCGCAGTGTGGCGTACTTCTGTCGTGGAGTGTTCCTCGTGGTGAATAATGTCTTCCCTGCGCGTGTGATCGATCGGTACGTCAAGTGGATTGACGTTCAGGGAGATGCCAACAGTCTCCGCCATATCTGGTTCCCTTTTCTTCATATCTTGGTGGACTTCGAGTTCTTCCCCACTGTGAATGGAGCTGCGGAAACTAACTCAGTGAAAACACGAGCGTGGCTCGCCAAAGCTGTCTCGGAGAAACTCTTGCTCATTATTGACACCCAAAAAGAGCAGAAAATCAGAGTCGATGCAGTGCGATTACTGCGCAGGATGTTCGCAGCACAGGCGTACAATTCTCGCTTCCAAAGCTCAGAGCATCAAGAGAGAATCGCTCTCCTGTATTATCCATTGTTTCGCAATCTAGCTCAGTTCACGACACCAGGAAAACTGCTGTCAGGCAATGTTCCTGGTTTGCTAGGTGAAGCCAAATCCGTTCTTGATCTCCAGAAAGAGACGATGGCTTGTGTAGGTCACCTCCTGTGCAGCGTGTCAAACGCACAGCTACCGTATTTCTTTCGACCACTCGCAGGAGAATCGACTCAAGGACATGAAACGCAATTGGACTTCACTGATCAGCTTGCTTTCTATCACCGCGTGGTTGGACAGGTAACTCATTATAGCCATCCTTGGCAATGTTCTACCCCATCTGACGCCTCAATCCCTTTATGCAACAGAAATTCCCACAAGCTGTCGAAACGCTGGTAGCACTCGATGACAACAGCGAGAACCTCTGTGATGGTTCCAGCGAAATAATGGCACAGCAGTCGCTGTATGACGAAGCAAGGGTTCACGCCAGTCTGGGGTTGATTCAGCGCATGCTCGATATCTTTCTGGTTACGGAGTCGTCAAAAACTACTGGGGTGGAACTTTGGCACCAACTTCTCTCGCCGGACTTGGGTGCATCTGAAAGCGAAACAGGGCTGTCTCTGTTGGAGCATCACCTCGCGCACCGCCGCAGCATTCATCGTCGAACAGGGGGAATGGAATCACCAGTCATGTTGTCGCCGAAGTCTAATTCAGCTGAGTTTTTCAGCGATACATCCCAGACTGCGACGGACGGGGGGACAACACACAGATCACTTCCACGAAACTGGAGCAAGCAGTACGCGGGTCAGCAGCGGCGAAGTGTTCCTAATGCTGGTATTGACGAGAAAGTAGCGTACACGCCATCAGTTCAGAAGCTGGAAGAAGTCGCTAGTGGGCAGCATGCGGAAGAAATTGCCGCTCTTCAACAAGTGGTAGCAATTACCGCACTACGTGTAATCGAGACTGTTGTAGACCAATATGAGGTCGTGATTCGTTTGATCGAAGTGGCCCGCACACCTCGTCTCGGTGCACCAGAGCGTCACGACAATTCATCACTGAATGGTGTCTCCATAAACCAAGCTTTCGTTCTTCTCGGCTACATCACGGAATTGTTGTTTCAATTGCTGCAACAAGCAAGCAGTATCAGCGGTTTAGCTGGTGAGATGGAACAGGAGACGACAACTGAAGAGGACCAGAAGGTCGACGATCCCCTCGACAATAGTGTAGATGGCACAAAACCGTGCTTCGTTAGCACCTTACTGCAGCACTTGCAGGCGTTCGTGTGGCGCTTCTCTGCGGCGTTGTTTGCTGCCCGTATCCCTGGACTCCCACTAGCTCATGACCAATGTCGGATCCAGTTGATTATATCAATTGCAGCCACAGCAAAGAAGTCCAGTGTGCGATGTCATGCCGCCATGCTGCTGAGCCAGTTACTGGCGGTGTGCTACGAGCAGACTGGGAGTTTTCTTCTAGTCAAGGCACCAGTCCTCAGAGTGTTCACCGCGGCATTTTTCCCGACAACAAGTAAACCACCACTTTTGAAGCTCTCCAGTACCTCCTTAAGAGATCTTCTGGATGAAATGCGGGCGTTCGCGACAGTATCGCGAGATAGAGTCTTGTCTCTTCCGTCAAGCTTCCACATCCAGTTCATCGAGCTGCTCAACGATCTCACCACGAAGGTTCACGCGTATGAACGCTGGCACAGCGCATTCGAAGATCCCACTGGCGCGTACGACTTTGAAGAGATTGAAGAAGGAATCGATCGAGTCCTTGAAGACATTTCCCCGTATTGGCTGCTAATGGAGAAGCTTGTCTGGTTGAACGCCTTGATGCGTCTTCACTTGCGTCGAGACAGGTTTGCTGAGGCAGTTTGCTGCAAGCTCGCAGCCGTCGAATGTGTACAGCGAGCAGGTCTTGGAGACGATTCGTCAAATATCTTGTACTTCGGTCGAGTTCAGCAGTGGATCATACGTGAGCTGTTCGTAGCTCGTGGCTACGCTGAGCGAGCAGACTGGATCGAAAAGGAATTGTCGATTTGTGAACTTCTGTTGGGGTGCTTGAAACAGCAGCGGCGATTCAAGGAATACCAGGAGATGCTCCGATGTGTTGATGTGTTGGTCGGACGCCTTGCAGAGAGACAGGAGAGCAATGGAGGTCAGCAAAACAGCTCGGCCTTTTCTTTCTACCGGGTACGCTACGCTGGCGGGTGCGTGCCAGCTTTGATCTCCAAGGACGAGTTCATCTACAAACGGAGTAAGTTTGTGTCACTCGGTGAGTTCGTAGGCGAGATGAAAACGATGCTTCGTGCCAAATACCCACAGTGTGAGCGGGTAGACGTCGTTCCAGAGCCAAAGCCACTGACTGGAGGTGATAGCAACCCCAACGTCATTTTCCTCCGAGTTACGACAGTAGAGGAAGCACTTCAGATCGATTTATCGCGACTGAAGGCGACGCAACCGCGGAGTTCCGACTGGCGAGTGGCGTTCAAGTTCGCGGTTCCTTTCACACGTGACAGCGCTTCGTCGTACGGCAAAACGTCTGAGCAGATGAAGCGCATCACGTTCTTGTCAGTAGAGCAAACGTTTCCGTGTCGATTGAATCGACAACTAGTACGATTGCGTCATGAAGAAGTACGTTGCCCCATCGAGAACTCCGTGGACGACATTCAGAAACGCTGTGCTCTACTTCGAGCCGAGATCAACAAGGAGAATGTGGGCAAGACGGACTTGAAGACCTTGACGCTAGTGCTGAAAGGCAGTGTGGACACACATGTGCACGGCGGCATTCCGGAAGTCCTCGACTCGTTCCTCGCCGGTGATCCAGCACAACTCGTTGACGCTGAAGGCCGATACATGAGCAGCCACGACAGTTTGCAGAAACGCCACGAACTCGCCAATTTACTCGTGGAATTTGCTCAGCTCTGCTGGCAGTGTCTGCTCATCAGTCGAGAGGCGTTCCGTCGCTCCAGCCAGCCCAGTCAGCACGTGTCTGCATCTCCCACTGCCTTCCACCCTCAATTGCTCCCGCACCACTTTGCTCTCCATCAACATGACGCAGTAAACGACAATTTCCTGCCTCCGCTGCCAGACACCAACCTTCTCTTGAGCAGGCCTGTCATCGACTCCCAACCTCTAGAGACTGAGTCATCTCCTGCTCTTCTCGTCGAAGTCTCTCCTCTACAAACCGAATTCGAACGCAGCTTCGCGTCGCTTGTGGACCAACTCAAGTCCAAAATCCCCTTCACCTACAAGAACGCAACAAAACTCTCTCGTCTCCGATTCAGTCTCCCCAGTTCTTCTCCAGCCCCAGTAGCTCCTCTTCCTGACAACACTCATTAATCAGTACACACAAAAATAAAGAGAACACCACCTGTTCTTGACTTGTTAGTGTCCCTTAAGTCTATCTGGGTCTACTTGCCACCACCAAGCAACATCTCCTTCGCCTGGTTGATCTTGGTAGCCAGGAACGTGGAGCCGCCCGTGTCCGGGTGGTTCAGGATAAGCAGCTTGCGGTGCGCGTTGCGGATTCGCTCCTCTGACGCGCTCTCACGCACGCCAAGAATGAGTGCGGCCTCGCGTCGCGTCATTTTCTCCTCGAATGGGCCATCGTAGAAGTTACGGTACTTCCAAGAGCTCACCTTCTCGCTCTTAGGGCGGTTCTTGTAGGCTTCCCATACCTGCAGCACGTACTTGGCGCTCAATGCGGCTCCAGCGACGCCCAGACCTGCGATGAGAACCGAGTTTTCGCGCTGCGGAGACGCGTGGAAGGCGCGCAGAGCCAGCGACTGCGTCGGGAGAGGCGCGTTCTGGCGGTCACGGGAGCTGGAAGCGCCTACAGGCAGCTGCCATGTCTGCACAGAGCGAGAGGAGCGCGCGAGTCGTCGGACGAGGGCCATGATGAATGCGGGCAGCGCGTTGACTTTTAACTTGTGTGGCCGCAATATGATGGGGAAAGGTCGAACTTAGTGGAGGGTATGAAGACACACCATACGTACGTCATTTAGGAGTGTTGGTCACAACTTCAACTTCAACTTCCGTGGATATTTGCTGTCCTAGCTAGCGGCGAGTAGCAACTGGAAGCACGGTTGGAAGTGCTTGGAGCGACGGAACTTGGGCAGCGTGTCTCGCTCCAACATCTTGGTGATCGATCGTTGGGCTGGTACGAACAACGTGCGCGTGGGGTTGTCCAGGTTGCTCTCGATCACTCGGATCAGCGTGCTATCAAGATTCACCTGGAGCTTGGCTCGTCCACAAATGTACTTTCGATAGATTTTCTGAGCCCGAAGTTTCAGATAACTGCGGTGAGGGATGTCCTTGAACTCGTTGCAGTCCATCCAGAAGTAAATACTCTCCGTGCAGAAGCTGCAAGCATGAAAAACAGTGATACAGTTAAAGATAAGAAGAGTGTTCTCGTATGCAGCGCACGTACATTTCTTCAGAAAAGAAGAGGAACATCGCACGGGTCTCCGGATTCTCAAGGATCATCGTTACAGTCACATCAGCTTCAGTTAGTGCACCATCTGACGCTTTGTCTTCCGCATCTCCACGTCCAGCTTCGGTCGGGGTTTGGATAGAGGTTCGTTTCACAACAGCGATTGTCCTGTTTGAAGCCCCGCCCATTGTTGCTAGTCGTGCTTCTCGTAGTTGCTGAGGAGTGATACGGATGCCGTGGTAGATCTCGCTTTGCTGAAATTTAGGAAATAATGTGGTGGCGAAGAAGTTGAAAATCTGCTCCTGAGCCTTATTAAACATGGCTGGACTGGGGCTAGCTAAGCTGTTTTGCAAGTCGGTATGAATTGCTGCTGAAGCGAAATACACAAACTCGCGAGATTGTGGATCGCAGAACCGATTGAACAGTTTCCTTGCTTGTCGAGCGAGGTAGTCTGACGTTGGGAACTGCTGGAACGTGGCGATCTCGAAGAAGAAATACAGCTCGTTTGCACACTGCTCACGTTCCAAGAACCGTCGAAAGTATTTGCGAAGTAGTTCCAGCTCCAAGAATTCACGTAGAGATAGTTTAGAGACGTCGATGAAGCCAGCGTTACTAGAATTGTTGGCCGTTTGTTCCTCTCCGTCGTGTGAAATTCCTGGACGTGGCGACGCAGGTGATGCAGCGATCTGATCCAGCATTGCCTGATACAATGGACTATTGCGGAACTTGGGCAAGTCCCGTGTTTCCCACTGTCGAAGAACAAGACGCTGAGCATCCGAGAAAGTAGCTTCCGTCGGGGTTGCCAACTTCCAGAGGATATCTCGTCGAGTCTCTACTGGCAGCTCCAGCTCCAACCTCGCCCCACGACGAATGTACTTGTCAAATATCCGTCGTGCACGCATCTGAATGTACTGCTGCTGACTATGAGGAAGACGTTGGAACTCGCACACCTCCTTGTAGAAGAGCAAAGTGTTCTCGTCCCCTTGTTCTCGTAGAAAATCTCGAAAGGAGTGCACACCCGCACCTTCCAGGATCTCCGCAAGACCGATCGATGCTGGCTTCGTGGCAACTCCGGTTGTTCCTCCACTACCTGTTGCTACAGCAGCTACAGGCAGCGTAGGAATACCGTCTTCAACGGACGGACCTTGCAGTTCTGGGACTTCGTCTTCAACAATGCGACTCGGTTTCCTATTAGCGTGCTTATTCTGCTTCTGAGCTTCCGATTGATACGACAAATAGGCTACCGAGCGATAAAAAGCATCGAGATGTGACTGAACCAACTCGGCGCTGCAGAGTAGAACAGCATCACTGAAGATATCTGCACCTAGCGGATACTCAACAAGACGCTCCAGTAATCGGTCTTTGACGGCTGTTCCTAGACACACCTCTGCCTTCGATCCGAAGCGCACGTATTTGTTGAAAATCTTATGTGCTTGTCGAACACAAAAGTCCTGATGTGACTCCACTGAGAGAGACTCGGCACTTCGAACATCCACGGACTTCTCCATAAACGAAGTAGAAGGCGCGTGTTTCAACATGTTGACCAGGTCTTCAAACGCTAAGGCGTCGATGATAAAGAGCAGATTTTCAACGGAATTTCGAGCTGCCAGGTACTCGCGAAACATCCGACAAAGTGCAGGCGTCGAGAGAATATGGTGCAAGTGGGCCCGCCGGTCTCCATTTGTGACGCCGCCACCTGCCACTCGTTTGGCTAGTTGTGCCAGGACATTCCGCATAGATGCGCTCTGAGTGGCGTGTGAGTAGCCTAACGGACCAGGCTCTCGTACATATTCGTCGAAGTTTGCTGTGATCACATCAAGCACGTCAAGTAGCAGCATCTTAAACATCAATAGAGCATTCTCTGCGTTCCTGTCAGCTAGATATTGAGCCAAAACTTCTCTCTCGGACGGACACACCATAGGCAGTAAACGTGTTGCTCCCTTCGCGACATACACATCATAGAGATCATCAATAAGCCCCATTTGAAAGGAAGAAACGCCCCCCTTTGCAGTCGAACTAGGGATCTTCAGCAAGTCGCTGATCTCCAACCAAAACAATACGCAATTCTCACGATAATCTACCGTTCTGGCATGAGATTTCATTGTACCAACTTCGATATCATCATCAACGATGTGGAGATTATCCATGTGAGCTGCTGCTCGTAGATATTTGAAGAATCCAACTCTCGCGCGTTCATCTCGTAGCAGAACATCAATTCCGATTGTTACAGGTTTGTGCAACTTCCTTCGCTTACCTGTCCGTGCTGTCATGAGTCGGTTTTCACTGTGCGCTTGGCGTAGAGTGGACTTAAGCACCCGGTCTGGCGTTGTTGACAATGTCGAAGCTCCAATTATTGTACCAGTTTGACTTTTCAAGGTAGACATTTCTGCGGCTGAATACGCGCGTTCGAGCCTTCTAGGCGAAGACATGGGGGTTCTTTGAGGGACTTGAAGGGGTTTCGTAGTTTGTTCTCGTTCTGATACTGTACTTCTCGGCTCTTGGTTATTTGGACTGGGAAGCGGAGCCACTACATTCGTAGGCGAACTTGCACCGCTCGGTAGAGTGGACTGCGTCGGGGAGCTCTCTGGGACAACATTGCTGGCATTATTGGCCCCAACCAGACACTTGCTGAGGCATTTGCCCATAGTCCACGCACAAAGAGGTCGTTGTAGAGTTTGGAGCTCAAGTCCAGACTTGTTGAACGAATTGTTGAACGCTTAGCTTGATGATGAAACTTTCCTTTTGCTTGAAATAGCTGTATTCATCTGTCAAACCTGAACAAACACCCTAAGTTCAGACGAAAACGAACACTGCATCAGTTCACGGTAAGAGTTTAGCTAGGATTTCATGTAGAGAGTGGCTACACCGTCAAACCGAAGACTGTCTTTGGCAAAGTTTTCAAGACTCGCACGAAAATTTTGAGTCTCGAAGAAATGAAGCGACTGTGTTGACTGAAAGAGGTCAGACGGTCGTTCGGGGCTTCAACGCATCAGGAATCACTCGGGAGTGTGCGCTGGAAGCGCGAAAAGTATCGAATTATCTTCAGCTAATCAATCGAAGAACTCCTGCACCGCACCGAAACGGTCCAACTTGTGTGGATCTCACCTCAGCTTGCAAATGACGAACTTTGTCGCAGTGAATCGGTCAGCAAGCAGCCGTATGTGTTCGTGTTGTACCAGAGAAATCAGCATTCCGCGCGGTTGGGCTCGGAAGATACATTCCTGATGGACAGCACAAGACACATCGTCCACTTTACTTAAGTACTCACTTTGCAATACACCGCGAGTAGTATCCGACCACCATATCTCGCATCCATCCCCATGATCTCGGATCTTCTTTTCCGTGTGCGTCGCCAGCTCAGCCCAGCCATGTATGGTGAAGTCGTCGAGTGCGAACTTCCCGACCACGATGATCCTGTTGCAGCCAAGTGCATTTCGCTTGCAAGAGCAGCCGACGCTCGAGCTCGAGTTCAAGGCACAAGAGAGATCGACAACCCGTTCCAAGAGCAACGCGTGGCCGCACTGCTAGCGGCCAACGGTGGCCACCGCAACGTGGTGCAGCCCTACTATCACTTTATCCGCGATCAGACATTGTACCTCGTCAGCGAGCTGTGTGGAGATGGAGATCTTCATTCCCTCGTAGCTGCGAAAGTCGACGCATCGACATTCCTGACCAAGCAAGAGGTGCTATCGCACATGCACCAAGTACTGCAAGGTGTCTACTATCTACACACGGTGCTGGGTATCGCCCATCGAGATTTGTCTTTGGAGAACGTATTGTTGAGTCGAGGTGTGTGCAAGATCACGGATTTCGGGCTCTCTACAGACGCTCGGATCATTTGCGATAGTGGCCAAGTTGGTAAGGAATACTACATGGCACCGGAGATCGTGGCAGGCGAGCGGTATGACCCCGCTCTGGCCGACGTGTGGTCGCTAGGGATCATGTGGTTTATCATGCTCACAGGTTCCCCGCTGCTGCCTCTCGCCTCGCCCTCCATGAAGGGCTTCAAGGCCGTAGCTGAGCATGGCGTAGGTGCCGTTATCGTGTCATGGGGCCATTCAAAGCGCATCTCGACCAGCACCATCTCGCTGCTGGAAAAGATGCTCCAGATCGATCCGCATAGACGAATTTCGCTGGGCCAAGTGCTAACCGATCCCGTGTTTGCCAAGCTGAAGGAGTAAAGCTTACGATACAAAGTCGACTCGAAATCGAGCAGTGGTCCTGAAATGTGAAACTTGAATCCACTCTACGAGTTAACGTTAAATCATAGTGAATTTAGCACTGTAAAGGGACAATTACCTCATCGAAAGATAAAGGTTATTTGAGGATAAGCGTTTTTGTGGGCATGCATCCATACTGTCGGATTTGATGCAGCTTGAAGTTGTGCCAAGGAGCCAATCACAAGTCTCCCAAGCACGTCGCTGCTTGGACTGCTGTTGGTGTGCTGGTGTTGGCATCTCTTCAAGCTCAGCCTGATGTGCTGCAACCGGTGTGAGCACTTCAACCGCTTCGTCCTCACTTTCCAATTTGCAGCCTCAATTCCTTCGCCATGCTGAGCAAAGTGTTGATCCGAACGCAGCGTCAAGTGGCCAGGACGGCCGCGAACGGAGCTCGTCGATGGGGAAGCAGCGTGGCCAGCGCCAGTGACTCGATGCTGGCTTCTCCCATGCCGCTGACGGTGCTAACTGAGGAGGAGGAAATGTTCAAGGACTCGGTGGCTCGCTTCGCTGCAGACGTGATCCAACCGAGTGTCCGCAGCATGGACGAAGCGGGCGAGATGACGCCTGAAGTTATTCAAGGCCTCTTTGACAATGGGCTACTGTCAGTAGAGATCCCGATGGAATACGGGGGAGTGGGGGCGTCATTCATGAGCTTGATCTTGACAATCGAAGAGTTGTCTCGCGTAGATGCGAGTGTTGGTCTGCTGTGCGACTTGCAGAACACAGTGGTGAGCAACGTGTTCCTCCGTTATGGCACAGAGGAGCAACGTCAGGAATATCTCCCACGTCTGTCTACGAACACAGTGGGCAGCTTCTGCTTGACGGAGGCTGAGTCTGGCAGTGACGCTTTCGCGCTCAAGACGCGAGCCGACGTCTCTGCTGACGGGAGTTACTACACGCTGAATGGCGAGAAGATGTGGATCTCCAACGTCGAACACGCCGACGTGTTCCTCGTGATGGCCAATGTGGATCCGTCCTTGGGCTACAAGGGCATCACCTGCTTTATTGTCGAGCGTGGCACGCCTGGTCTGTCATTTGGACCGCCGGAAAAGAAACTCGGACTCAACGCGTCGTCCACCTGCTCCGTCATCCTCGAGGATGTCAAGATTCCCAAGGAGAAGGTACTGGGCAAGGTTGGCCAGGGTTACGCTATTGCTATCGGCCAGCTGAATGAAGGTCGCATTGGCATTGCAGCGCAACAACTGGGTATTGCGGAGGGAGCTTACCGCCACGCGATGCCCTACCTCTTCGAACGCAAACAGTTCGGCCGAGCCATCGGCGACTTCCAATCCATGCAGCACCAATACGCAGAGCTGGCAGTGGAGCTCGCAAGCGCACGACTGCTCGTCTACAACGCCGCTCGACTCAAGGACGCTGGTCACGAGTTCGTCAAGGCCTCCTGCATGGCGAAGCTGCACGCGTCGCGCGTGGCAGAGCGAACTTCTTCCAAGTGCATTGAGCTGTTGGGCGGTGTAGGTTTCTCCAAGCAACTGATGGCTGAGAAATTCTACAGAGACTGCAAGGTCGGCACCATCTACGGCGGCACGAGCAACGTCCAGCTCAGCACAATAGCCCGATTGATCAAGAAGGAACTTGTCTGAAGCGGTCTTATGTGTGAACTATAGTGTTGGTTGATCCGATTTTCTAAACAGGAAACAAATGCGATGATTTTACTACTTACTAGTATCATGATACGTCATTAAAGTATCCGCACAGCATTTGCCTTACTCGACTATGGTGGAGAATAAGGGGTGGGCTAGCACTTGGTCCAGGCGAATGCGTCGACGTGGGTCGGTTTGTAGCATCTTCTCGAGCACTGAGATGGTATCTCTCGAGATTCGATCCGAGTGACCCCACACGTCAATGACAGCACCAACGCCATGACGTTCCACTGCAGTGAAAGCCTTTTCTGAAGGCGACGCCAACGATACGAGCGGTGAGCCCGTCAACATGATGAACCACATTATCCCCAGTGACCACACGTCGGCCAGAGCAGGGTTCTATCGCTCACCAGCGACTACTTCGGGTGCCATGTAGAAATCCTTCCCCACTTGGCCACCTTCACACACCTTCCGAGCATCCGTGGAGAGCCCGAAATCCGTAATTTTGCACACGCCTCGACTCAGTAGGACGTTCTCCAACGACAAGTCACGGAGGCAACTCCCAAGGTAGAGTGGAGATAGTGAACGCCCTCCAGCACTTGCCGCATCAGCGACAGCGCCTCGCTCTCCTCCATAAACCCCGACGTTTGGAACCTCGCAGCTAAGATGGAATGGAGATCTCCACCATCACACAGCTCGTAAACGAGGTAGAGTGTACCATCACGAACAAAATGGAAGTAGGGCTGTACTGGCGACGAACGTGGAGAAGAGCAGGGGTGGCCATGAGGTTCTTGTGGTCGGACGCGGCAAAAACACTTGTGAGAGCTTGGAGACATGCCCTCGGCTCTGACCTAAAGCGACATGTATCCGTTCACGGAATCCCCTGTATAATGCTGAAGCCAATTGCGACCGAAAGTGCAATGCCGCCAAGTAAATTTCGGGTGAAAAAACTTTCCGTTGAATACAAACCGGTATAGTTTGAAATCCTGACGATTGAAGAACACGAATTGAAAAATCCTGACGATTGAAGAACACGAACATGTCTTACAGCAGTATTTTACAGCAGATGTGCACTCAGACCTTGACGAAAAAATAGGCTGTTTCACTGGACCAGGTCCAGTGAAACAGCTACATCTGCGTTGAAACCAGCTCATACCTGCTCAGCGCACTGCAGCAAGGCGTAATCTTTTCGCTGTGTCCTTCAAATTTCACGACGGCCGCCTAAAGCCTTACGTAAGCAATAATAAACAAGAAACGGAGTCATCGTCGCGACTTCATTCATCGCGATTAAATAGCTGTCTGCTTCTGCATCCGAGCTCGTGTCGTGCGTTCGATCCGCACTACACCGGTGTAAAACTCGAAAGAGCTGCTCTAATAGTAAGGATATCCCGCACGCGAACCATCAGGGACCGGAACATAGTTCATTTGCGTTCGCATCGTCGGTGCCATATCCACGCGTCCGCGTTTGAGCAGTGGTTCGTCCTCACTTTCAAAGTTGCTCCTCGTGCGAGTTCTAGACATTTTGACAGCGTATTGAGGCGTGGGGGCCATCATGGCCGGCGGCGCATTCCAGGCCATGCCGTTCGGAGCGCCCACTCCCCTCTGATAGTCACCAAAACCATTCACCGCCATTCCACCAGCTAGTCCATCAAACAGAGCCTGGCTGTCCTGTCGAGCACTCGTACGCGGCGTCGGCTGCTGAGTCAGCGCGTCGTCATCTTCCAGCAAAAGTCTCAGCAACTCTTGCATCATCGCCAGCTCCTCGGCGTTAAACCCGGCAAACAGCTCCATTTCGATAGTTGCGAGGACTACTCTCGTCCTCGGTTCGAACAGCGGGAAGTAGGAATGACAGAGCAATCGAAACATGGCGCCATGATCGCTTGCCTTCCCATCCGAAAGAGACCTGCAAGGAGGCGACAGTGGCCATCCGGTCACACACAGGTGGCAATGACCAAATCGCATGTAGGATCATGTTCGATGAAGCCCATTTCTTTTGTAGGCTAGGAACTGTCAAGTCTCGACCCGAGACCTCACAACGCCGCGGCGAGTACTTGACATCGTCTCGTTGAACGTGAAACAATCGGGGCTATGCTCCGTTCACTCACTCAATCGTATCCCCCCATCCTTCAACCTCAGTGTCTATAATTTGCTGCGTGACAGCTTTATCTTCATTGTCAGCGGCTCTGCTTGGGGTTCGCCGATTTTAGACATCTGTACGGTTTGACACGGAGGTTATCGTCTCTCAATAGCCGGAGAACTCAAGCAATCCAGTCCCCAAATGCTCTCGCGTGTTTGATAATCATCAAACGTTTGATTGCCGCATCGTTGCTCCACCTGTGGTGATGACCACACCTTCGTCTTCTGCGGGACTGCCGCTCCGTCAATTACGATGGCCGCCGTTACCTGCTGTCGATTTGCTCGAGGAATGCCACTGGCTGGTCAACATGGACGCCAGGAATGCCAATCCGACGAGAAAGTCGAAACAATTTGAAGAACGAGCTCGTCATAAGCTTGATCTGCCAAACGGGGTGATCAACAACAAAGAATCGCGCAACCTCAGCAAGCAGAATTCGCCGTATCGTCGACAACTTTGCCGGCCGAAGCCACCTGCACCTTCGCCTGGATCACCAGCTCAACGAGCGGCGAAAAGTATCTTGAAGCTAAAGGAGGGGCTACTGCGTCTCGATGGCACAACTCAGCCACAAGACACATGTATTCAAGGTGACATTACCGGTGCTAACATCACGCCAGTGCCACCGGTTAGCAGGTCAGGTATTGACTCATCGTTGATAGCAAGTCTCGAAATCCCCAGAGCAAGGAGTCCGAGTCCTAGCAGAGTGAAGACACCTGTACGTAGTCCAAGTAGAAAGAAGAAGAGGCCACCGACACGTGAAGAGCGTGAGCTTGCCGAGAAACGGGAACGACTCGCAGCTTGGCTCAAAGCTAACCCCGATGCCGCCAGAGATTTTGAAGACACTGGTCAAGGGTATAATTTGGTGGCACCTTACTCTGTGGAAGTTGAATCTCGAATCGAATCGGTAATGCAACGTCAAACTTCATTTGAGTTGGGGGTGAGACTCTGGGACGACCCTGTACGCTCGTTGCTCGCAGCGGAGATGACCAGTGAGTCAGTCTTTGGGGGTACTGTTCCGACGCGAGCCTTGGCCTTCCAGTCACCTGAACTTACCTCACCTTCGAGCAAATCTCCACCAAAGCAGCAATCCCCTGTTCACGGTGAGAAACCCTTTGTATTTATCAATGCAGATGATCGGGACTTTAGTGAGGGACCTGTTGAAGTGGTTGACGCGGAACCTCACATGTCCGATCATGCTCAAAAGGTGTTAGGCATCGCTCGCGCCCAGGTCACTGATGGTGCTGTTGGAGACGCTTTGGCCACCCTCGAAGCTGGCATCCGTCAATCCCTCTCGACGTCCCAGGCTCACCTGGATGCTGCAAATGGCTCACATGGAGTGGGGTTTAACTACTCGGTGCTTGCTCATAAATGCGCGATGAAGTTACAGATCTACTACCGGGCACGGCATCGCCGACGAGTCAATCGGTTGATACTTCTCCAGCGTCAATGGCGTTGGTGGCACGCTCGAAGACGCGCAATGAAGGCTTTTCAATTTGCCAACCAGCAAGCGATGATCATCCAGTGTCACTACAGACCTTGGTACACACACGTCACACAAGAGCGCAGCGCTGTGCGGATCCAGCACTGCTTCCGCATGTTCGAGAGTCAGAAGTTCCTTATCCGCTTCCAGCAAGTCTGTCGACTGCTCCTGGTGAAAAAAACTCACCGTCGACAGGTCAAGAATCGGATACGAATAATCGGGAGACTAATTTTCCGGTTCAAGAAACGTCGACGACAAATTGCTCTTATCCAAAATCTCTGGCGTCGTCGTTGCGCTCAAGCTCAGCTTGCCTCATTACTTATTCGAGCCATCGCGGTGGAGCGTGGTCGACGTGCCCGGGAGGACGCATTTGTTGCTGGAAAACTAGAACAAGCTCGAATTCACTTTCGGGAGTTCCTGAGGAACACGAAACGAGGGAAGGAACTAGTGCGTTGGCAAGCGGAGAAACCGTGGCTGCGTTTTCGACGCTTGCGGTATTACACAAAACCCTGGGACGAGCTGCCAATATTCGATAAAATTGAGGTTATTGCTAGGATTCTGCCGAGTCGCACCTTTCAAGGTTTGCAAGAGCGAGCGCTTTGTCAAATGCTGATAGGGAAGGACAAGCAGTTGCCAGCACTCCCAAACGTACTGAGGGTATCAGTGGAAGAGCTTAGATTCCTTGATGCTACGTCGGATATACCACCTTTTCAAAAGGTTGTTGAAAGCGGTTGTTGCCCGTGGAAGGCTGTTGTTCGTGAGAAACTGGGGCGTATTGGTGCGAAGATGGCGCGTCAAGCACCAGCGCTGTGGTGGACTATGGCTATGTACCCGAAAGAGTATTGCGCAGCTCGGATTTGGCCCGTTCGGACGCGTCGGCGAGATCTGGCACGACTACAACTTGAGGACGACTTTGCGCGAGTGCTCACGTCTTTCTTGCGCGTATGGTTCCATCGCATCGATAGCAAGACAAACACCCCACGATATGCGTGTGAATGGTGCTCCGAGCCTTTTGCCACAGTTCGCGAGTTTTACGCGCATGGCAAGTGTGCAACAGCTCGAGCACGAGCAGAAGCAGAATGGGCGACAATGAGCAGCGACCTGCAGTTTTTACGTCGTAAGAAGTGGCGGGTCTCGAAGCAACAAGACGATGTTCCCGTTTGGACGGATAACTACGCGTTCGACTTGGAGGCAGCTTCAGTACGCCGTCTTAGACGCACACGTAGCCATCGGAAGGCACTGAGGTCACTGGTTGCTACGTTGGAAGTCTGCACTGCAGACGACAGCTCGAATGCCGTTATTCCTCTGGATTTCGCGGCTTTCGTGCTGCAATATCTCGACAATACTAACGAGTTGCATCCTTTAATGCAGACCACCGAGCACCAGCTTGTGCGATGGAGCACACTTATCGGGTCGATGGAGGTGGAGAGTGTGAGGCAGACGCCTGAAGGCTCCGGACGCGAAAGTCGTTGGATACGCAAGGACGATCTGCGTTCGCGTTTGATAGTTAGAAGCGAGTGGAGGGGGATCTTGAGTCGGTGGCGTCGAGTTCTTGGTCGTCGAGCAGTGAATTATCGCCCGTTATTGGTAGGAAATGAAGTCGCGTCGAAGTTAAAAGTTGATCGTTTCAACCGCATTGCTTCGAAGTGGAAGGAGCTGCAGATTCGGGTGAGACGAACGGTATTTGGACGACAAGGGTCGAAGACAGCTCAACAAACACCTTAGGGATCCGTCTGTTGCGAACAGTTAAGTCATGGATACCGGTAATCGATTCTTGATCACCTCATACAGTTGCGATACATGTTCGAACAAGTGCAGTGTCAATACACTCGACCATTTCCGTTCTCTTCGTTGAAGTTTTACCAGCTCCACCCACTTGTGTGAGCCCGTGACGTGCAGACTGCAACATGTACATGCATAGCCGAATTGCAGGGGCTTCGAAATTCGGAATCCCAAAGCAAGGAAGCAATGGCTTCGTCTCGGAGTCCGCACGCGACGAGGCCGGCAGTTCAACCTGTTCTGCAAGCGGTTGTGGCTCGCGTGTTGCCCGCTGCGACGTGGCTGTGCTGTTGCGAGTCGAACAGAGTGTGGACGGCGCATTCGTCAGAATTGTGGGAGCTCGAGCTCCGATACGCTGGGCAAGGTGAAACTGGAGCTGTCCCGGCTTCCGGACGGGTGGTGCGGAGGCTCTCGCCCCAAGCAGCGTCGTAGACGACGTAGACGAGCCTCGAGCGGAGCATTGCCGCTCGCAATACAAAATGCAAGTCGCAGCACTCGTCGACTTCAAGCTGTACGCATCCTCGGCGAGAGCGCTCTGCCACGAGCGCGACGTCACCCCGTTCAGCGACCGGGCTCAGCAGCCTGGGCTGGAGATGGATAAATGCCTCCGCCGGCTGAGGCGAGGTAAGCATTGCCATTGTCAGAGCGGCGGCAGCGAGGCTGGGTTGACCAGCATCGAAGGCAACAAATACAGATGCATGTACTTCAACCTACTCTGCTATTGCGACCCTTGATGTTTTGTTTCCGCCGCAAGGACATGCATGGCAATCGACCGCGACGCAAGGCTGGGAGCGAGGCATTAGTATGAGCAACATCGGCAACGGGAGGCATGCCTTCGAGAGCAATGAAGTACTTGGCAAGGTTGGGACAAACAGATTATAGATATCCCCAAGAACGGATCCAGTAACGGTGGCTGGCTGGTTTCACACTCGCTTAGGAAGACTCAGTCGCATGCGTTGATGCAAACTATTATATCTTCAAGGTTTTATATTTATTGATTTGTGTGGAGCTGTATTTAAAGATAATTCAATATTACGTTAGTATACAATTTCACAGTCTGTAAGACGGTCACCACACTTCATTTTATCAGTAAGTGGCATCGCGACAGTCTTCACAAACTAAACGCTACATTTTGACAAGCAGCTGTAGTTAATGAATGCTTACTCTCTGTCAGCGAGAACTCGACGCTGTCGTGGTCCCGGCTCGAAGCAGAGAGCGCTTGCAAAGGCACCACTCGGGGTTCGTTTTGCGGGCTGAAAAATTGGACAGGCCTTGTCAATTCAGTAGTCTCCCGAAGTTTTGGTTCGCACGGTCGACAATTTCCTGGCAACACGTTCATATCGCACTGCACAGTGGATATTGGAGCACGGATTTCCTCGCGATCTACAAATATATGGGGGCTCATTATGCCGATCTCCCCGGCCCAATTTTTATGTGACGGGCTCACCCATCAGCCCTTCCTGTCCCGCATAACTGCATACCCCTCGGTAACAACTGCACCTTTAATTACCAATCTTCATACTTATCTGTTTTATCATACCTTGAATATGATATTTCCTGTTACTAGTCTATCCATTGTAGCTTATTACAAAGAGCAGGTTTTGCAAAAGGCAACTGTGCGGCACCGTCGGTACACGCAAAGCTCGACTTCCTTTTTTACATGTCAACCTGACGGCGACAAAAGCTTGGCGGTTCCTCACTTCTCAATTCGCTCTACAAGTGTCACTTGCGTATTCCGCGAGCCTCCGCCGGCTCTGCAAGGGGAGGAGACTGCGCCGCCACCGCCAGCACTTCAACGCGCTAGTCGCCTCCGTCCTCACTCTCCAACACAGCAATGATCCACGCTCCGCTCGCCGTCGTCGCCCCCACCTCTGCGCCATCCGTGGTGTCCGATCCCCAAGTGTTTTCGGACGTTTTGGCCCGTTACACGCTGGTCAAGAAACTCTCCTCCACGCTGTACGGAGAGACCGCGCTGTATCGGGACGAAGCTCTGGGCAAGAAGCTTGTAGTGCTCAAACGCGTGAGCATCCCACTGTTACAGCAAGAGAGTCAGAGCCCCGCAGTGAAGGAGAACCCGTTGTGCGAGCGCATCGTCGTGCAGATGCTCGAGGACCCATTGACAGCGCGTGCACCCGGCCGCGAACATGTGGTCGAGTACGTACGCGAAGGTTTCTTCTCGTCCGGTGACAGCGTCTTCATTGCCATGGAGTTCTGCGCCGGCGGAGACCTGTACGACTACGTGACGTCCAAGCCTGGACGCCGCGTGGGGGAGAGTGAGGCACTCACGCTCTTCGCGCAGCTGGCTAAGGGCCTGAGCTTCCTGCACGCGCACGGCGTCGCCCACCGCGATCTGTCGCTTGAGAATGTGCTGCTCAAAGACGGCCAGGTCAAAATCTGCGACTTTGGCCTCAGTGCCGACGCTAACAAACTCTCGTCGGACGTGGTGGGCAAATACTACTACATGGCCCCCGAGATCGCTCAGGGCGCCGTGTACGACCCTAAGAAGGCCGACGTGTGGTCGCTGGGCGTGCTGCTCTTCATCCTGCTAACGGGCTCCCCGCTCTTCGCCGACGAACAGCGCTGCGCCCCCACACTGCGCGTACTTAACAAGTACGGCGTGGCCAAAATCTTGGAGCTCTGGGGCTTGAAGAAACTCATCTCCAGACCCACCATCAACCTGTTGGCGTGTATGCTACAGGTGCAGCCGCAGCACCGCCTGAGTGCGGAGCAAGTGGCTCATCATCCGGCAGTTCGCCGTAGCAACATGCCGCGCAGGGAGATGGCGGCTCCGCCTGCATAAAATGAAACATGGCGGGCGGGATGGTTAGTTTTTGCAAAGCTGTAGAGCTGTCTTCTATCTATCAATCGTGCAAAGTTTTGCAGTGAAGTGATTGCAAATAATAAAGTAAGGTATTTATCCCTCTAAATCTCGGCACTGCACTGCTGGAACCAGAGTATCTGGCATGTGGAGTCAACTTGTTGCCTGCATGATGCATTTCGTCGGCCGTTCAGAGCTCTTCGCACATTTCTACATACTAGTACATACTTGTCCTTCTCCGATAGTATCCTCGAAAGCCCATAGCTTTTACAAGGTTCTGGTATCAGTACGGCGCATAATACGAATATCCACTCTTTCCGAACACACACTTCTGAGCGCCATACTTACAAGGATTCGAAGTGTGCAACATGGCTGGCCCCAGCAGCACACATACGTCAACTCCAAACTGCACAATTTTCGAGCAATTACATCATATAGTATTATGGTTCAGCCACGAAAACACCATCCAAGGTGTGCTTGCTCTGCAAAGGCCTATGTTGCATCTGCGGTGAAGGTTGCATTAAGAGAGTAACTGCGTCATTTCTTCTTTAGTCTCTTCGTTTCTCTTCTTCTTCGCCTCCATAATCGCCATAATAATCTTTATATTCATATTCGACGCTGTCATCCGACTCGCTCTCCATTGTCACAAATTACCTCAACGCACCCCGACTACTGCCATCGTTTCCAGCGTCGTCATTGCCACATCAACCACAAATATGAGCGTCACTCCTCATGTTGGCAACTTCGGAAACTGCGTCTGAACTTGCGCTCTCCAACGAATCGTCTGGTCCGATACTAAACACACCGAATGGCGGCAGTGTCACTGCAGGAGGACCCGCCTTGAAGACGTCTTCCGGGAGCGGTTGCACCAGTGGGAACTCACTGATTCCTTCATGCTCTGAGTATTCTTTCCACGCGTTCAGGCAGGTCTCTTGCGAATGATGTAATTTCGCCCTTAGCTTCTTCCAGTTCACTCGACGAGAGAACTTATATCGACACTCGACCGAGTGGAGTATCCACCAAACTATATTCTCCTTCTTTCGGGACGATACGCGTCTTGGTAAGAGTGGAAGTAGGCAAACGAGAAAGATGGACACAATGTTGTGCAACTTTCTTGTTCAACTTGAAAGCTGAATTTTGCAATTGAAATGTGAAACATTGGTTTTGTAAGATGAAATTTTCGACTTGAAATTTTTTGAAAGCGGTTGCAAAAGTGTCCAAATCTGATCGATTTCAGAATCTTCCTTTTTTTTTTTTTTTTTTACTAAAGTTTAGATATGACTAAAAGCGGCTTTGCAAAAGTGTCCAAATCTGATCGATTTCAGAATCGTACTTTTTACTAAACTTTTGACATGACTAAAACGTTTTTAGTCATGGCTAAACTTCTATTTTTTTCACTTGTACCTTAGAATCTCGCCTCCGATATGTTGCTGTCTTCTCTAAACGAGATTTCCGTCCCGCCCGGTGCAGTTTCTCGTGTCGACTGCGCCGTTTTGAAAAGCTGGTCGGCGTACCTCGTGGGTGAATCTTGCACCATCGAATTGGAAGACGTGGCCAAACTTGCCAACTGGTGTGTCACTCGTTGGATGAACCGCTGAGAGCTGCTGCCAGAAGGAGCTCGAGGACGCACCAAAGGCGTAAAAGAGTTCTGAAGCCTCAACGGTCGAGTGTTCTCAGACGTCTTGAGCCACCGCGCAGTCACCGCTCGCTGAATCGGCTTGGGTGGAGTGATTGCAGGTTTGGACTTGATCATATCATCCCCTACACTTGGTTCACCCCCAGTTTCCGTGGTTTCGGACGTTTTGAGCCAACGCGCTGTCATCGCTCGTTGTATCGGCTTGGGGGGAGTGTTCGCAGGGGTGAACTTATCCCCTGGGCTTAGTTCACCACTATTCGCGTTCGTGTTTTCGTTCGGGTTAATATCGGATGCCCGGCCTGCCGTCGAGTCCAGATCTGCAAAATTCGGGGCTGAAGTCGAACGAGTGCTGATGAATTTCGACCGCCGTTGCTGGATAGTAATCACCGTCTTGGCACTAGTCGGGTCATTGCTGGAGATACTATTGGGGGCACCCAGATCGGAAACCGGATTGGTGTCAACGTTACTCAATTGGGAAAGTTGTTGAGTAGGATGTAATGTATCTTGAATCCCGCGTTGAAGCTCTTGAATTAATGACAAAGCTTGTGTTTGTACGCCTTCGAGCTTCACAACTTGCGAGTCCACCTCGGGCTCCGGTTTCATTGGGTTCTTTGGTATGGAGTGACTGGAGCAGTGGCATGTGCAGCCACATTCCTTCTCGTCGTCACGACCGCGCTTTCGACTCTCCCGTGATCTGGGCGAAGGCAGAGCAGGTGTACTACCAACAGTCTTACCTGTGGTGTCTTCATCTACAGGTGTAGAAGCCACAAACTCCTGGTCGCGGACTGCAACGAGCTGGTCCTTGAGTTTTTTACTCAATGCAAATTTGATAGAATCATCCTCGACATCGGGGTTTACAGCCCAGGCAACGAGCTTAGCAGCGCGGCGAGGAGTGATGAACTTTTCACCATTGGCTGCTCCATCCACCTCATCAGCAAACACGGAGCGAACCATGGCCGTAAGATGACACGGGATGCCGAACCGCTCGTTGTTTTCCAGTGACGAAATGAGAATCTGGGAGATGACATGTTTGCGATCGGCAGGGTATCTGGTTAATACGGCCTGGAAGGCGGTACGACTCAGTACGCACATCTCAACGTACGTCATAGCACGTACGTTCGCTGTTCGCTGATAATTCATCAGCAATGCCATCTCACCGAACGCTTGACCACGCGTTAAAGTCTTAACCGTCGGCGGATTCACTTGGGAATTTCGAGCCACAACGTGAGCGCCGTGGTCGTCACGATCTGGATAAACTGTCCCATCATGTGACGTTGTGTAAAGTGTCGAAGTATCGCCAGGGTGTTCACTGTGCTCACCCAGCTGCGAACGTCGTCGAGCTAGTGGCTCCGTGGCATGTTCCTGAGTATCGGTACTCCCCACCAACTCGCACATGCCTCGATTGATCATGTAAAATTCATCTCCGACCTCACCACGACGTACAATAAAATCATCGGGAAGATACACACGAGTGTCAAGACTCAACACCAGAGTTTTCTGGAAATCGGGTGAACAGTTCTCCCAGAATGGCACGTGCATTGCTAACTCCATGTATTTGAAGAGCACAACTTCGAGAGTAAGGTTATGCGAGAGTTCTTTTGCAAAGCGCTCCAATGGTGCACCGTCCAAAGCTTCGTATTCTCGCCATAAATGGGCGTAATATTGGTGTATTCGTTCCCTCAACGGTGCGGGTAACTGCATCTTGGTCATTCCTGCAAACACCGACTCCATTTTACGTTGATAAGCAGTGGAATTCGCGTTGAAATTTGCCACTAGCATCGCCACGTGACCGAAAATCACGGCTAGTAAAATAGAACCCAGTAAATTTACACCGGATGCAAAGATATCTTCCCGGGCGGAGTGGGTGGTGAGACTCTGACCTTGTAGCAACTGCATTGCGACGTAGAAACACTCAGCATACACTTCTAATTCAACATTCGAGTCAATCGGAACACCACAGGTCCTGTCCACAATTGAAGAGGGATCGGCACGGGTGGCGTCAATAAGTAAAAGTCTCCAGCAACACGCGATACAGTGTGCTATTAGCACCACAGCGCCCACAATCCAGACAATTTTTAACAAATGGGAATATCGAGAATACAATAGCCACCCCCATACTGATCTTTCGATTCGAGCTCCACGGGCCTGCCCAATTTCACGAAATAACCGTAAGATGTGTACAACACGATGAGAGCGGATGACGATGTCTAGAAGCGTATGTGAAAAGCGGCCGAATGCATCGTGTTCGATTTCAGCTTGTGTGATCTTTTCACCCGAATTTTTCATAATTGTTCGAAACGGAAATGCAGCTACGAACTGGAACATGCACGCTCCAGTGAGGAAATTCCACGCGATATGCCGTCTGGAAACCACGAGAACTCCGCGTTTGTTGACATAACTCGTGTTAAATGCGAGTAAAAATTCTGCGAAAAATACCATTTCAGTCACGGAATCGACGGTAATGAACCACGCGCGTCCGCCATTGTGGAAAGCTTCCTCATACGGAAACCCCAGTGTGTGCACGCAGAAAGCCAACAACAAGATAAAGCTGCGCACGCGAGCTGTCCTTGAAAAGGGGGATAAAGGTGTACTTAACCTCGTAAGTACCGTTCGCACTCTCTTTTTGAAACGTGGAAGCGGACGTGGTCGATTTCCTGCGCGGGAATTAAATTTCTGAAAACTGGATAGATCTCGATTTAGAACGCCACCAGATTCTTTTCTGGATGCGATAGATTGCCGTTGTTGCCATTGGCCTTGTTCAGTCTTCTCTTGTTGCTGGGAAATGCGAGTTTGATCGGGTTCTACAGCTGAAGAATGAGGAACCTTGACTGCAGATGCAATGGAGCGCATTGATCCTCCTAAAGTTCCGTTCGTCGATCCTAGATGATCAACTGGAGCTACTGATGCAGTTGCAGGAGGTGTAATACTTATGTTATTTGAATGGAAAGAAGGCGCTCCAGGACGACGAGGACTCTCCTCTGCTTGTGAATCGGCACGTGACTGGGACGTGGTTAAAATATCCCTGTCACCTTCCCGACCGATTGTGGTATCGATTTGTTCACCCTCGCTTCGCCGGTGTGTGGAGCGTAGGCTGTCATCTATACGGTGTTGGCTCATCTCGGAAAACACTGGAACTTTATACGCTGTACTTCGTCGGTGGAGCATTTTCCTGTCAGTCTCAAGATTTCGACCGGATCCTGTGAATTCAAGCCGTCGCAATTGAAAGCGCGCCATCATCTGTTCATAATTCTGCCCTTGGTCTTTCGTTGCAGTTGTCGAGGCCACCGCCTTGGCCACTGCTCGAAACGACGGAGTTGTACCGGAACTGGGCATTCGCTTAAATGTCGGCGTTGTTGCGGTACTTGGACGCTTAGTAGTTAGTGTAGTTGATCCATTTGTCTCCGCTGGTTTAGCAGCTTTAAGTCGTTCCCGCATACCTGCAAGATGCGTACTCGTGGCTCGTTTGAGCTGAGTCCGAGGTGAGATACTTTGCTTCGATACCTCTGCTGAGACCGCAGGGACTGGGTCAATATGAGGAGCACTCATGCGATGCGCAAGAGGCTGTGCTGCTGCATCGGTACTGTGCTTGTCAGTCTCCATTGCTCCTGAATGCCGTCGATCGACTCGTCTCCTCTTGGTACGTTCACTCTGTGCTTCGGTTCCCTGCACTTCGGCGAGAGCTGCAGCCACTGCGGACGTCGTCACCAGTCGGTTAAAGCGCTTGGATGACCCCGACGCCGTCTTGTCCGAGTCTCCGTTTCTCCCCGCGTCATCTTGACTGGGCTCCTTCTCCTCGACGATCGTCGCCCCCTCTGGATGTGAGGAGGACACGATGTCATGTGCAGACATCGATCGAAACATCGACCGAGTACAAGTCAAAGCGCACTCGGTCCCATCCCAATCGAAATGGAGGCGCGAGTCTACGAAACTACCGACCACAAGAGGCAGGCGTCAAGCCCCCACCTAAATATACGCTGGTGCTCTTAGCAACACCAACAACGCGCTCAAATTGGATCCAAGACTGTTTAATGCTATTATAGTAGCTGTTGACACACTGGCATTTCTCGAGTCCACGTGACGAATTCAGCTTGCAGAACGTGGGCGTAGATTAATTCATACTGTCGGAGTTACTTGGTCTCCGGCAGGATTCCAGCTTGCAACGGATCTGACACCCTAATCGATGGTCTCGCTGGCCATAACAGCGGATTTCACGCACAGGAAATATATTTTAAAGCTGCAGTTGAGGATTTACTTGGTCGGCAGAGTTGAGCATTATTTCCCGGGCCGTACATGAGTTCGGTAGGATAGGGTGAATTGGTCTGGAGCTAATGTAGAGACCGTGCCGGTGAGCGAGTATCCGACGATGACGGTGACACCGTTAGCCACTATAGACTACCCGAACGCCATGAAGTAGTTGCCAAGGATGGGGATCACGAGACCGACGGACGGTGACTCCAGCGCCAATGGTGTCTGTGTGTGTGTGTGTGTGAGAGAGAGAGAGAGAGAGAGAGAGAGAGAGAGAGAGAGAGGAAGATAAGGAGTAAATGTATTTACTTCACTTTGAATTCCTGCTTTCCACACCCTTACGCCCGCAATCTCTTTATCAGCCGAACTTCGGCTGTTTAAGTTCGGTCTGAACAAAGCTCTGACCAGCAGACATGCTGCTCTCAGGCAAGCCCCATATCCGGGTACGTGCAACAGCAGTGGTGTTTCTCTTATTCCTATTACTTTTGACTGATCTTTTTGCTAATATTCTCATGGTGGCGTTGGCTCTTGTAGGAGGTGATCATGTTCCCGGCCATGAAGCCCAAGGACGACGTGGAGCAGCCATGAGCCGTGGCGCTTGAAAACTCCGCAGAGTCATCAGAAGTGCCTAGAAATGTAAAGATAAGCACTGAATGCCAGCGAAAAGGTGGAAAAGAGCTATCTACGCACCAATTCTGCCAGTGATAAAGACCCATTGTGGTTGAAATCAAAGAGATCGAAAAGCAACTGAGACAAAAAGTTCAATACGTTATCACCATAAGCCGTACATCTTGCTTTGTCTTCAAACATGGCACGACAGACACAGACCAGTGCCGCCAGCAGTTCCAACCCGTCCACGCGTCCGTCGTGGTTGGCGTTCAGCACCTCAAAAACCTCTTCGGTCCCGACACTCTCGGCCGACTTCAGTAGTAAAAGGCTCTCAAACTGATTCGCGGTGACGGCAAACCCGAAAGTTTTCTTGAAGCGGTGATGCAACTGCTCCACATCCGCCAAAGTCCCTATAAACACAGTCGCCATGAGTTCGAACCCGAAGCAAGAAACTGAGAGAGAACACGTTCTCACATCGTGCAAAGTCTCTCGTCTTATGGTCAAAGATCCGAAATCTGAAGGACGAGCAGTTCACCCGCGAAAAGGACTGGACGGTGCGACTGAAAAGCGTAAAAGATGAGAAATCTCAAGTGGAGCAGCAAGTATGCGAGCTTCAAGAAGACCTGGCGTCGCTCCAAGCTCAGAACTCCCTCTTTTCCGAGTGGATGCTTGTTCGCAATGAAAATACGATTGCAGCACAGCGAGACGCACCTCAAGATCAGGAGTACCCACAGCAGCGAGATCAAACGAGACACCGATCCACTTCACCCAAGAGTAAGCACAAGAATGCGTGGCGTTTGGAGCAAGAGTATGAAGCCGATTGTAGTAGCAATGGCAACTACGCATTCCGTCGTGTCGACCACGACGTGTCGCCGCACAGTCGCTCCAATTTGCACGGAGGTCGACCCAATTCCCCGCAAAGCGTTCGCAGTGAACACGATGACGATCCTCACTATATGATCCCCGACACAAGCACCAGGTCTCGTCCGGGCTCACCCAGGCAAAGATCGTCACGAAAGTGGCAATCGACCACCCGTTCAAGTCATCGTGCGCGTCATCACAACATGGAACGGGTCAAGCCACTATCCCCACGTTCACCGCATGATAGAATGCAGCGAAAGACATCCACGACATCTTTGTCGTCCGTGTGTTCGTCAGCTACCAGTGCAGCAGCTTCGTCGTCCTCTTCCGACCACGAACGACTGTGGAAACTAATGAGCCGCAACCGCAACGACTGCAACAGGAAACCATGGCCACGCAAAATCTAGAGCGGGAGATAACCAACATGACGTCGTAAGCTCAATGATAACTATTCATCGAACAAGTTGCGCTTGACGTTCGCTGCCCTTGCGTGTTGACAACATTTGTCGAGCGTCCGCCCTCGTCGTCACGGAGAAATTTCTCCACGCTGAACACGAGCGGCGTCATACTGATCGTCTCCAGCACGAGATCACCACGGCCGAAGGTGCGTCAACGTTTCTGCAAATCGACGATCGCTTGGCTCACTCCCGAAAACCAGTGGGCTCCGTAGGAGTCAGGTCGAAGACAGGATCAAACATCCAAATCACCAGTACTCTAACGACGATGCCGTTGGTGCCATTAAGCGACCTGTGCAATGCACAACACACAACAGAACGTTAGTGTCTGCTTTCGAAGCCATACGACGGCTGACATACTTGTGGCCGTCGATCTGTAGCTGGGAGAGGTGCGTTCTCGTAGTGCCGGGCGGTTGTGTCCAAAAGACGACACAGACGAAGGAGCTGCGCGCTGGAATCGTCCGGAGGAGGTGGAAGGCGCTGGTGACGCGTCCTTCATGTCGACATCCGCAGATCGGCGAGGGTTGACCAAAGTTTGGGCTGTCGGTACGCATGCAACAAAAGAATTGGTCAAATATATAGCAAATAGAAAAGCTTCATACATCTTACTTCTTAAGGATACTTAGAAAAACCCTATTAACTTAGTACTTAAAACTCGTCGGTACGCATGCTGATTGGCTGGGATGGCATTCAGACGAAAAAAAAACCATTAAAAATTTAATGGCTTTTTTCGTCTGAATGCCATCCCAGCCAATCAGAGCTCTCATGTCCCGTCTCTTTCAAAACAATATCTGAAAAAAGTTATAAAGCACTTTGTTTCTGAAAAAAGGTCTTGCCTTGACTGCTCATGGCCAGGGGTTCGTAGCTAGCGTTGATACACGCTAGTATCCTAACCCAGGACTCCTCCAAACGTGTATCAGGATCCGGATCTTGTTAGGGGGAGGCTGGATTCGAATCACGTGATACGACCTGTGCTAAAGTGATCCTCAAGTGATCCAGTATCTGATACTGTATACACTTTGATGAGTGCTGAAGTTGTAGTTAATTTTGGACGTCTTCGGCAGAAGCATTGAGAAAGACGATACCTGCGACTTTATAACAGAAACCGACAGCAAGCAAAGACAGCCAGCGAGTTCATGGCGCAAATTGGTGAAAGCTCAGCTAACGCAAACAACGACCGAGCAGGTGGTGAAGCAAAAGCAGAAGAGGAAGAAGATGTTGACGCTCACGGAATCCCTACTTCAGTCAAACATTTTACTTAAAACCAGTTCAATTTGGTATGGAACTACATACACAAGCTCCGTGTACCTATTCCAGACCCTCTCGATTCCAGTAGTCCTTTCACCCATATCTGTCTGGATTGTGCCGACGAAGCATTAAACACAAACGACCCAACTGCGGTTGCATGGAAGTCATGTCTTAACCGACAAAAAACTTCTAGTAATGCTCGAAAGCACATGCTCCGTAACCACAAAGAGCATCTTTTTTTCAGTGGAGGCTGGTGCCCAACGGAAAAACAGAGTGCATCGTAGGATTGAAACTCACGATGACAACACCGCTTTTAGAGGCGTTACTGATGATAGAACGCCAAGTGCAGACAAACCCTAGCCTAAGAAGCAGCGTACACTGCAAGCGTCCATCGCAATGAGCTCAGATGAAGTACGGGTCCTGTCAACGAGGTGGCTACTTTCTTCTGGTTTGCCGTATACAATTCTTCAGAACGACAAATTGCTATCTTTTGTTCGGCGCCTTGGCAACCAGCCTCGCCTAACATTTCCTGCCCTTGAAACATTTTACGCCTTCGCAGATTCAGATTTCGGTTCGTTTATTGATTTACTGTCAACCACACTCAATATGCTGCGTCATACAAACAAGCATTCGTTACGGTTCTCCATGACTGCTGGACCAACGCGGCCATGGTTAGCATTATTGGAGTCACGATTATTTTTATCGATAAAAAGTGGCGTATTTGAGTGTTTTCATTGCTTGCGTTACCGAATCCTGGTAGCCACGCCGCTACAACCGTAGGCCAACGTATTGCATCGGGTATAATGGCTAGATACAACATTGATATTGATCAGTATTCTCGTTTCATGGTCAGTGATACAACCGGAAGCGCGAGAAATGTTTCGGATCAGTTTGAAGACACAGATCACGTTGACTGGTTAATGCATTTACTTAGTCTGTGCCTCCTGTATGCTCTTGGTCTTAAAGAGAACACTCGCGATAATGGCAAAATTATAGTTTCACCTGGTGGGAAGTTTAAAGCTGGATTTGCTGTCATCCAAAAACTACGTAACTTGGCTACATTTTTTAATTCGCCACTTCGTCTAGCAAAACGCAACCAGCTGAAAGAGCTATACAACCTTCCGACTATCAACATTTCAATTGATCCAAAAACCAGAGTCGGGTACGCGGTAAGCCTCTTACGCAGTTGTGTATACAATATACTTCGCGTTTACGAAGTACTTTGAGACTGCTTCTTCTACGGAGCAAACAACATGGCAGTGCATTACAAGCAACGACTGGGATCTAATTACTGAAATGGACATTTTAACGGATCAACTGGCCCAGTTTAGCCTCGGTGAGGTTCAAAAAACAAATGTTGCAAGTTCCTAATTGCTTCTCTTTTGTAAAATGCTTACGGTGACTGTGGATTTGGAATCGTTCAACTGCTTAGTTCTAGAACGACCTGAATTAGGAACGACAGAGTTTTCACAAAGACGCATCTCGAAGAAGATGAGTGATTTTTCAGATGGCGGAAAACGGTGTCGAGATCGATTAAGGGAGCAACTGTCTCTTCGATTTCCAGCGCAAGACATTAACGATGTCAAAGCTATGCTTTTGGACCCACGGATTAAATCTAAAGCTGCTTATATTGTTTCCGATCCTGATATCCTAGCCTCAGTAGAGACTGAGCTACAATTTGAACACGAGAAAGTATACAGGATGATGAAGTTGAGCGACAAAAACAACAACGACCAGACAATTGACTTAGCCGGAACAACACATCAACCTCACAGCGAAGCGCAATTCCAAGCGCGATGAGCTCCCTACTAGACGTTGAAGTTCCTTCTAAAACAGACAATTTAAGGACCGAGCAAAACGACATTCACCAAGAAGCGATAAACGCCTGGATCAAATGGAAAAATCTAGCAGTGAGATGGCCGTGTTCAGTCGAGAATGGAAAATATAGCGCGCTGGACCTGTACCGTGAAGTTGATGTCCTGGCCTGGTTTAGAGATCTTGGAGAGCGCGAGCATCCTGTTATCGCAGCACTGGCAAGGTTTATCTTGGGAAACCGTTGTCAACAGCAATTCAAGAGCGACTTTTCAGTCTTAGTGGGTATGTGGTGAACCAATTACGAACCCGTCTAGACGAAGATCGAGCAGAAATGCTTTGTCTCATGAAAGCGAACTGGAGCAAGTACAAGACGATGTTGAGCGAGAAATAACACGTCGTACCAGCTAGGTACTAAAAAATCATGTTTTTGATAAACTACTTAGTAGAAAAGAACTACTGTTATTTGATATTGTACCATGGTATCAATATCCGTATCACTTAAGCAGGACTCTGGATCAGTATCATGTGATACGTCTTGCAAGAAAAAACATGACGGATCTGTATCACTGATACAGCCAAAATAGCAAAAGCTCCGAACCCCTGCTCATGGCCTACCATACTAAAAAAAGATCAAAGTTGGCCATAAGCTAGGAGCACTTTTTCGTCATTTTTTTGCTTCAAGTTGAAGTAACATAGTACATTTTTTTTGAGTAACAAATAGTAGTCTTGTTTGTCTGACACTACTATATTATATTTTTTGCTGCCGAATCAGATTCGGTCTGATAAATGTCCTTTTAATATGATCTAGTCCAAGTGCACGGTGATTGGCTAGTCACAAATCTACGCGGTCTGATTGGATTGTCACAAATGGATCAATTCTGAAAAGATTTATCTTTTTAATATGATATGTGCACAGAGGGCGTTGATTGGCTGATACACAAATCAACCTGGTGACGTGCATTTCTCCTCTGGGCTAAATCACCTGCCTTGTTACCATACACAATACCAAAAATGCCGACATCTGCCGCGTGCTCTGTGCAGCTCTACCTGATCACTACTTCAAGTCCAGTTACTGCAACAAAGTGCGTCGCCAGCTCCTTTTTAGTGGCTATGGAAATCTACTCAGTCACTTAAGAGATAAGCATCTTGACTACGGGGCTGACTACCTTGCACACGCCAGCTCTCTGGTCGGCAACCTACACTCATTCGGATTGTGAGCGACAAGGTCGCCAACATCTACCATTGGATGAAGTGGGTGGTCGACAGAAACACGCCTCTATCTGAGATGGACCACCCGACGAGTTGCTCCATGTCCCGTCTAAAGCCCATATCCTCTTAAAAAAAACTCAAGAAGTATCTAGCCGCTACTACTCGAGCTGTCGAGAAAGAGACTGTCAAGACAACCTCTCCCATGTTTGGCGGTGGTGGAGTGCGTGGGCAATGAGATTCCCCGATAAGCTGGGGCTGATGCTGTACTGGCGGACACACGGTCCGAGCACTACCTCGCCGTCTTGGGCTGCTGCGAGACGCGTGCCGGCCCCAGGTACCCTCTTCTCTCTTTGGCGCCGATCGTCGTTGATGCAAGCGGGCGGTTTAATGCCGAGACCCATATGGCAGGATTAGCCACATTCCAGCGCTTTGTTTTGGTAAGGAGGTATCTAACTGCATATTCCTTATCGCTTTTTTAAATTACGGACTTACTCATTTCAATCTTTTTATTTCTATTTAGACTAAAGATGCCCCTCCGCCCGGATCTGCGCCAGCGAACGCGCTGGGGTCGACCTATGCGATGTGAGCTCGCTACTTTGAGCTGCGCGAGTTTATTAATGCGGATGACGAAGAGTTTGTCGAGCTGATGCCGTCACCGACCACCAACCGCAGGCTTAAAGCCCTGTTGACTGAAATGAGCGACATCGAGTCGATTTCGACAAAGCTATAATCGGAGGATCTAAATCTTCTCGATGCTCGCGACCTTATTGACGAGCTTCTTAAGATCAAGCCAAAGTTTCACAGACTATCTCGGCAAGTGTTTGTTCTTTTTTTGTGTTGTTAGCTCACATTTTTTTTTAATATTTTTTATTAGCGCCCACCGCAGACATCGTGCACTCTCCAGATATAGAATCTGGCGCGGGAAGGTCCTTGGTGGATACGAGAACGGATTGTCGCGTGCTGAAAAAGAGTCCCTGCGGTACTTTCGTCAGGTGGTCGGCAAGAGTAATAGCCCGAAAGCGGACCAGACCAAGGTCGGCTTCGCAGACCGGATCCTCAAGCGCAGGAAGATTCATACGGAAACGAGTGCTATCAGCGATACCACCTATGTCCAACAATATGGAAGGTCCGCTCAGTATGGCCCGCATAACCATGCAATACGAATGGAACCGACTAATCACCTCTGATAATGGAGAGGCTTCTGTTCCTGAAGATGAACAGCAGCTACTGGCAGTATGGCAATATATAACCTAAGTAACATGATCTCACTGTGTTGCATAACATTGATTGACACAGTTGCAGGCACGCGTTAGTTATTTTGCAGATTCACTAGCACCATACAGGTATCTATTGTCATCAGAAAAAATCCATTTAAATAATAATTCGCTCTAATCACTGCCGGCTAAAAACAGTACTCAATTGACTTGAGAAAACGTAAGAGGCATTCTGCGACGGTATGATGATGTGATGTGATTGGTTGAAAAAACGTAATCAAAAGCTTAATCATGTATTGCCAAGATTCAAATACTGTTTACTTGTTTGGGTGCTTCTACTACGTCGTCGCGAGCAGAGTGAACACCATCGCTTGTGCATCTTGGCCGTTTTCGTGGTTTGGAGGTTGGTTGGTGGTCTCTTTCCTGATCTTGGTCATTTTGTCGGACGAGTCGAGTACTGTTGACAGCTTCAGCTGTCCTGTTCTACGCTTTCGTTTGCTCGGCTTTAGTCGAAGTACCTCATATCCTATGTTAAACAACTTGATAGCGTGGGGTTCATCGACGACTGTAGTCATTGGAGCGCCCACGTGTGCTTCAATTCCGTTCGTGATGTGCCTCATCATGATTGACCACTCAGATAGCGTTGCTTTCTTCTGAGGTGTATCTAAATCATCAGACGGTATCCCTCTATACGGAGGGTAGCCGAGGATTGGATTCCCAAACCACCAAAGCAGTCATGCGCCTAGGGGGTCAAATGGGGGAAAGTTAAATTCTCTGGGAAGAAGGTGAAACTTTCCACCCCATGTAAAATACGAGCGTTTTGGTGCAGTAGTAGCTACAGCGTCGCGAGTTAGAAAATTACGTTGAAGACCGACTTTTCCTAACAAATTGTGAATATCTTCGCGTAATAACTCTCGCGTAATATTCCCAGCTGCAACACCCTTGCTTTCCAGCACGTGCTCCATCCTTTTTTTTTTCAACTTTATTGGCAACTCATCAATGGATTCCTGTTGTTTGTCAAGTTTTTTTTTTTATATATAACTCGATATAGGGCGGTATTCCAATGGGTTGCATACACGGAGACTCGCCAGCTGCGAGATCTGTAACTTTTGAAGCACCACTGGATTTCGTATTACGTGCGTTAAAAGTAGAGCGTGATCAGTTGGTAAATGCGTCTGTAGATAGTGAGCGTGTTGAACCAGATTGGTAAGCTCGCCTGCCGGCTCGCAGTGGCCGGGGAACCCGGCATAGATCCTTTGTATTCTTTCGCTGGCTTATTTTGATGATTAGGTGTTATGTACTTCTTTATAGTGAGTATTCTGCAAGAAATATACACAATAATACTGTAATTACCTTAAAGACCAGTGATATTATCGGACAATACAGAATTCCTGCAACCGATCAAAATGCTTCATTATCAGAGGATTTGTCTTACGTCTACTGAGTCTAACTATGTCGGATAGGTTCCAAGATGTTTGATCCATTCGGCCAATGGTGTCAGGGCCGTCGACACGCTCAAATCGGTTTGATTGTCGCTACTCGTCGAGCCTCGAATCAAGTAGGAGAGGACAACGACGCACTTTTCGATACTGGTAAAACGATATATCAATATAACTCAAACTCAAAAACATTTTTGTATACGTACCAACTTGTAGATGATGTTATGACGTGAGTTTCAAAGTCCACCAAATGGACATTTTGGTCAGCGAAGATGGTTCCTTTGAGCCGCAGCCACCAGAGACCTGTAGTTGCTGGAGTTGTGTTGGAGTTATGGAGATATTTTCCGGTGGATATGGCGACTCAAGTCCATGTTTTCATCTCTGGCATGAACGCTGGTTACCAGCGTTTCTATCTGACCAGGAAGACACCAGGGTCACTTGAAGAAGCCTTCGAGACAGCACTACGTGAAGATTACAGCGTGTCCGCTTCCGAGGCATTTTCCCTCGCTGCCCCTTCCGTCACGGAGCCTGAGCCCATGGAGCTTGACGCCATTCAGGATTACCACGGGCGCCGACGATCCGGTCCGGCGCCAACGTCGTCTGCCCGACCGCCTCTGGAGGGCC